ATAATATACCCCATTCCGTTCACTTTTTCATTGTCCCCTAATTCCACATGATATCACCATTGATTGGTGATTTCGCCATACATTTTCCCATGATATGCCCATATGTCCCTTGGTGAAATCCTGGTTACCGTGGAAGTCCAGGTCCAGGTGACCCCAAGTTTCGAAAGGCGTGCCTCCGAAGCTGCCGGGGGCGGCCGAGGGACCTGAAAGCTCCGTGGTGACTAGATCGGATCGGATCGGAACAGATCAGATAAGATCAAAAAGATAGATAGGATAGGATAGGATAGGATAGGATAGATAAGAGAGATAAGAGAGATCATATATATATATGTATATATACATACGTACATACATACATACATACATACATACATTACATTACATTACATTACATTACATTACATTACATTACATTACATTACATTACATTACATTACATTACATTACATTACATACATACATACATACATATCCAATCATCCTGATGTATATACAGAGAATAGCATATGATAGAATACGGATTTGGTCGAACTTGATTTCCAACAAATATCTACACCAGTTGTTGCTGGTTGTTTTTCATGGTGGATCCACCCATCCTTCTCTACCCGTGATTCACATGTAATGGAAGTCAAGTTCGCTTTCCACAATCCATAGTGAAGAAACAACCAAATCATTCCATGTAACTTCCATATCAGACCATGTCATGAGCTTTCCATCTTAATCCATAGTGGCCATTGTATTTTTTAAAAAAAAACTGAGTTTCGAGCTAAAACGCACTCCATCTGCTCGACCGCCCTGCAGTTGAGCTCGGGGCAGAATGGGTTGATGTTGACATCGGTGTAGGCAACGGCAACATCATATATATATATATATGCATACATATTAATAGTCAGGAGGGACCATCAAAGAAAATAGGATTTAGGATGGTTTTAAAAAAAATGTCACCAGATGTCATGCAAGTCAGATATTGTGATTTTCCCAGAGTTAGGTATTCCAGAGTGGTTCCTTCACACCTTTCCGCAGGGCTGCCCTGCGGATGACAGGTCCTAGGGTGTCGGTTTTTTTTTCGACACACGGTGTTTCGACGGAGGAAAGGTTCAATGTGTTTTTGGGTGTTGTTTGAAAAAGAAACACTTGGGTAACTGTCTGAAAATAGGCTATGTACCCTGAAACCTACTGATTACCCTCTGGTAATTTAACGTAGCTATTGAAAATTGCCATTTATAGTTGATTTGCCCATAGTTATGTTAGTTTACCAGACATTACTGATTAATCATGATTGTCCCGTATTGAGATTGCCACTTGGGGGTATACCACATGTTCAAACACACCCAATTGGTTGTCATTCGATTTCTGTGCGCTTGCCCATCGGCGCCCCCGAAGACCGAACTCGTTTTGGGGCCATCGTTGAGAAAGTCTCCCCACTATCAATGGTTATAACCACCTATCCATCATGATATGAATAGGTTTGATGGATGCAAAATACTGCTGTGCCTATCAATGGCTGAATATGGAAACATATCTGAATATAGCTGAATATGTCACCTATCATAAATGACTATGGGTAATGGTCAAAAGCATTTCATCCGACTGTGGCTCCCATCAAGGCTTCAAAATCTTGAAGTTTGACCCATCCCCGCATGTGTCATCCCAGCAGTAGTTGACAGCCAGACCCCATGGTTTGCCCTTAAAATCAACTTGGATGGAAGAAATCCTGCCCCGCCTTGGCTGGTTGAAAGCCTATAAATAATGGGATGTTTGCCACCTATCAACTGGTGCAGGTTTTCTTCCACCGTATCTATGGAAATATGCTGGTTTAGGGAATTATGTCCAAATGCATCAAATTGAAAGAATCATGAACATAATTCCCTAAATGCTATGGAATTATGTTTATGGAAATGTGCATCAAATGTTCCACCTAATTCTTGGCTTCTTGGATTGTAGGACCGACCATAGTTTGACCCCACAAACTTCCATAGCTAGGTCCAGGATCTCCCAGCCATCTTGATCAGATTGTATGAACCAATAAGCCGTTAATATAACCTCAGCGTTTGATTAATATTCCAACGAATATACCATTCATGTTCCATGAATATGCCATATGTCATTGATATTTCATGAATATTCTACTAGTATTCCACTAATATTCCATTAGTATCCACAAATCCCCGTCAAATTCCTGTAATATCCCAGGTAAAATATTGCCTTTTTGCTTGGTTGAATTTTCTATGCCCACACAGTCCCATCATCTTAACACTATACCCCATTATACCACCATGTTTGTTGGTTGAATCCCATTAAACCACCTAATCATCCCAGATAGTTCATAAGTTGTATCCCCATCACATTCCCGCTATATTCCCATGGTATACCCATTGTATCCATTAACATACTGGGGGGTGCAGTCGAGACTACACATGGGTATTAACATGGTCATAAACCCCCATTAACCAGGACACATGCCCTAGAACTATGGTTATATATCCACTTAGTTCACTGGAACTGCACCTCTAAGTCCAACCAAGGATAGAATTATCTCTTGAAAATCCCAGATATATATATATATATATACATATTGTGCATTTATTCATAGTATGTTGATGATATGTTTACATATATGTATATATATATATATACGTGTATGTATATATATATATATACATATATATATATATACACGTATATATTCTCATCATATACCCATTATATCCGTTTACCCTCTGGTAATCAAACATGGCGTGCTGGAAAATCCACCATTTAGTTCAATGATGTTCCCAGCGAATTAAACACCATGAAAACGATGATTTTCAGTTGCCACCTTTGATCACACCGGAGGTACATATAAATATGTAATTATACATATATATATATATATTCCCATCTCTTATTAATATTCCCATTATACCCTTTTACGTAGGGCTATTTTTGGAGGGTTCCCATCATGGGAGCCTCCGAAAGGGTCATCCCTTGACTATGTATCCAAGGTGCCATCAACTGGAGCAGCTTGGCATCGTCCTGGGCCTACGAAAAAAATGGGAGTTCGATCAACAAAACTTAAGACATATGTGTTTTTCTACCTACAATAGAATATCTTTATATCGGAAGTATGTATGTATATATATATATACATATTCAACTTCAAGCAACTTCAAACGTGTGTATTCTATGTATAATTAATATATATATATACACTCTCTGTCGTATACATGTACATGTATACCTGGAGTATATGACATACATATGTAACCAACATGTAATCAAATGACATCACATGCATCTCAAGGACCCAGTTGGGGGGGCACTTTGAGCCACTTCTCAATGGATCGGTTTCAGGGAAAATGTACCGAAAACCCATGGGTTTTTACCATCAAATATAGGGGTGTCCTGTAACTTCTAATTGGGTTGCTCATCCAAGAATAAGGCCTATCCCCCACAGGTTGGCTCAGCTAAAGCCCAAGCCTCGCAGTTTTTAGACACAGCGCAAGAAACTTTTGCGGGGGGATCGCCCGGTGGACGTTGGGCAGAATTGACTCAGGAATTTTGTTTGTTTTTTCATCAGGAAGCCTTGTCCTTGTTTCGTGGAGGAAGTGTTTACTGTGGTGCCTCAATCTTAGAATCTTTGGGTGGAACTATTTCTGTAAGGAACTGACTTAAGACATAAGTGCTTTTTTTTGTGATGGTTGGTGTAACCAGTCTCAGCTCCTATGTTGCGGTCACCCAAGTACCCCTGACCCCCGCCACCCAACGACTCCCCCGTCTCTACGTCTCTTTGGACTCGCTTTGGTGACAGCGAAGCGATGGTCGTGCTGCAGCTGATTTACAACAAATGGTCTCTCAATCTGCGAAAAAAAGCTGAACATCTAGATGTGGATCTCAATGAGGTACCTGGGTACCTTTGATGAACCCATCAAGTTGCTCTATTTTAGGAATCAGTCCCACCATATGATTCGGCTCTTCGAAATGGCTTTCGGGCTTTCGCGAATTCACGTTATACTTCATCCATCTTCATCCATGCTAAGGGTACAAGGTGCTGCGCCCCCAGTTATGTTTATTGGTTTATAAACCATAGTAACTATAGTTATATCCCCCATAAACCCATATAAACCCTAGTTCTCGGAGTTATGAACCGATCAGTTGTAGCTTGCAGCACCCGGGACCCCGCATTTGCGGGGGGAAATGCTTCTCCGCTGTCGCCGGTTCATTTTGGAGTCGTCTCACATCAGGACTGGACCGATCCACCAACAAAGGAGATTGAACGGCTAAAAGTGGTGGTCAAAATTGGGTACCTCAATAAGTGGATGATGATTATTAGAAATAGACTTGACCTGATTGAAGACTTGAACACCGAGAGCGCCAAAAAAATTGACATGTGATCATCGAAAATGGTGACTGGTTGGAGTCAAGAGCTTGAGTTTTACCACCAAAAGCATCCAAAAACTCAGATTTAGGCGCCGCCTAAACTGATCAAACTGGAGATTCATCAGCAACAACTGGAGATTGCAGTCTTGAAAGATCTTGAAAGTGTTGCCGCAGTGATTGTAATCAGTAACGAGAGCTGCTAGTCATGTCAGGATGGTTTTCCTACATCAGTTTTCGCGCTCAAGCCTGGATTTGTATGCCCTGAGTGCCTGTTGATACCTTCAAACTTGGTTTCCAAACAAAACAAACCATTTTGATAAAACAAACAAATTGGCGTTTCACCCCTGAATTCTTCGTGGCGGAGAAAACCTCAGGGTAGATCATGTTTTCCAGCACTCCCACCAGTTTCCAAGCTCAAGAGAGGAACAAAAGAGTCACTGGGTTGGTTTAAGGGAAAATCTACAGGAAATTCCTGCAGATCTCTGATCAAAAAAAACCCAGCCTTGGAAAGACCTTGCGAAACAAATATTGGACAGAAGTAACAACATTGTATGTATGTATATATATGTGATCATTATGAATCATTATGATATGTGATACCTCGGTATGGTGGGTTCAAGTTATTGTTATTGTTCCACAATCTCAACTTCATCATCCAAATCATGGTGGACCCGCGACGTGGAGTTCCAGGGCTGTAAAAATGAAGTGACTTAAAGACCTCTCAGCCACATTTTTGTTGCCGTGGACCGGACCTAAAAAAAGGACCAAGAGTTTTCTCGGTCCAGAGGCCACATCTGCTATCAGCTCGGAGCACTTGAAGAGATGTCCTGCCAGGGGGGCCGAGAGTCGGATATCATCTGACGAGAATTGGGAACCCAGTCAGATCCTTCCACTTGGAAAAGCAATTCGTTCTGATAGAGCCCAGTTGAGAAAAATCAGCGGCTGAATCCAAGTTGGGATAGACCACAACCATCAGATCCAGGCCACATCTCTTTCTTCACAACAACTTCAATGAAAGAGCGAAAAAGGGGGGCAGCTGTGGGACAGAAACCTGTTGATTTGCCAGGTACTTCCCACGTGTGGAAATTGGGGATTCTGCAGATTCCCTCTTCGCCATGGAAAGTTTCAGTCTTTGCCTATCCATTTCGAATAAGCCACCGCGGCCATAGCCATGCAGCAAGTCAAGTCCCCCTCCTTCAGCGGCGCCCCGGTAATGGTCCTGTTTCACAGCAGTCATCAGGGCATAATATTCCACGGAAACGAGAAGAAGAAGAAGGAGAAGTGGAGACACCAAATTCTGAGCTTGGCAAATACCCCACATGTTGTCTGCTTCAACCGCATGAAGGTGGAGATCATGCCCTACCACTTTTCTAAGAGATCTTCGAAGCTCTTTCTGCCAGTGTCTTGGAAAAAACCCCAAGCTTTTCTGGGCCGAGATCCTCCAATGAGGCGGAGATTCGTCACCCAAAACATGGTGTTTTGAGACCAAGAACTACTACCCTCTGGTTATGTCAAAATAGCTATGGAAAATCACCATTGTTTATGGGAAAATCCACTATTTCTATGGTCATTTTCAATAGCTATGTTAAATTACCAGAGGGTAGATGGTATGAACCTCTTGCACTATGTCTCAAGAAGTACACTGTCGCTTTTCCCTCCCAATTTGATACATAGGAATCAAAACCAAAACTACCCATCGCCACCGACACCTGCTGGAGCTCGTCGACCTGCAAAATCATCATTTTCCAAAACCCCAGGGTTCAAGGAGCCAAAGAGGGGTCCTTTTAGGGACATCATCAGAAAACCCTACAGATTTTGGATGTTTTTGGGTCTGAGTCTGGATCAAAACCCATGGATTTACCAGCTTTTGCTGTGTTCAAACACGGGCTGCTGGGCACATAAAACGCCGTCGGAACCTTCAGCCCTTGGTTACAAAAACAACCTGTTTCTATGGCGACTTGGAGGCTCATCCCACAGATCGCAAGGGGTATTCACAACCCGGGCGATGGCAAGTCCCGGATTCACGTGTGCTATCTGTAAATGGACTAGAATTATCATAAAAATTATCTGCATATGTAGTTCCTAACCAGACACATGACATGGGACGATCCTCTAAATCTCTACCTTCTTCCCCATTGCTGGTGAAATTACGCCGTACCCACTTCCTTCATCCCTTGCCTGCCAGTGGGGCCAGCGCCAGCGATCGGATGGCGGCCAAAGCCACCTCACCCATCTGCGCAAAAAAAAAACTCCAGGGCTATGCCAATTGTATGTTCCAAAAAAAGATTGATACCTATTATACCCTGGATTAATCCACAAAATCCCATAACATCCAGGGGCTATACCTTTTTTTCGGAGGTTACCTGCAAAAGATTTTTCTCCATCTTTGATCCATTGGTCCATCCCTTCACTGATTCACTGCGCTTGCCAACGTGTGTAGTGGATCTAAATCTCATCAAAGTGGGGATGGGGATGGGTCAAAACCCTGGTACCTAGTGAACCCCAAAATAGCTGGTAAATGGATGTTCATCCCACTAAAATGTATCTATAGGTATTGACCCATACCCATATTGATCCATGTCCACATCCATATTTGCTGGTTCTGACTCATTCCCTCAAATGTTTGCGAAGGGTGAAATAGTCATGTTGAATTACATAATCGGCCAAACAACCATTCTTGTTGACTCTTCAAATTTGCTGCTGGTTAAAGTACCATGTTTCATGCTTGAATCACCAGCCAAAATGTTTTTAATCCAGCAAGCCTATCACAAAGACAGTTTTGACGTTTTACCACTTAAGCACGAAGCATATTTTGTGGGCATTCCGTACTTGAGAGGTTTTGCCCTAGCTGGATTGCAGTCTACTTGCATGAAAATTGCACGTGCGTTTGAGATTACCTTAGAGTTTACCTGGACATTGGCTGGGCACTCAAGCCTATAAATGATTCAACTAACAATTAGTAGCTTATGAAATTAAACTGAAACTATCATATATATATATATACATACACTCATTATTAGTTATTAGTTGGTTTAACTGTTGTGTTTTGAAAATGTTTAAAACATGTTGAAAGTTTTGTAGGTCAACTGGCACCCAGCTGGATGCCTCAGCTGCCGGGCTCTGAGGCCCTGAGGTCTCTCTGGCCTATTTTTCGGGGGCAGATGGAGGTTGAACTGGTTCACCAAAAAAAATGGGAGAAACTGAAAATGGTGGTTTTAATATGGTTTATATAACCATGAAAATTATGGAAAAGTGAGGGTTGACCCTCTGGTTATTGAACACAGCTATGGAAAAATTGCCCGTTTATAGATGATTTGTGATGAATTAATATGATGTACCTATTGAAAAAGTGCGATGTTCGATGGCTACGTTGAATTACCAGAGGGTAACTTTGAAGTTAAGTCTCATGGGTTGCCATATGGGGTTACATCTGCTCCGGGTTTTAGTTCCAGTTTCAATTCCACTTGTTTGATTCGGAAGAAACAAACTCCGGGTTTTATTCGTCCTGTGACGCGCAAGCCAAACCGTAACCCGCCAGCTTCAGTGTGGACAAGTCACAAACTGGGCTCGGTCCCTCTTCTTAGACAATAGCTTCAGGTCGAAATGATACGCTTTATCATAGCCTAAATTGGCTATAGAGCGCTCCAAAAGCTGTGATTCTGAGCTTCAATGGATGATGTTTGTCACTTCTATGACTTCTATGTGCACTTGTGCATTTCACCGGGGACATTTCTCAGCAGCCTGATATGTCCAATACTTGGCTCTCATTTCTGAGCCCCAGTACGGTAGAGTGGAGTAGAGCAGAGTAGAGGAGAGTGGAGAAGAGTAGGGAAGAGTGGGGTGGGGCAGAGAAGAGAAGAGTTGAGAAGAACAGGCTAGAAAAGAGTACAGAGTGCAGCTGAGAGGAGAAGAGAAGAACACAGAAGAGCACAGAAGAGCACAGAAGAGTAGAATGGAGCAGAGAAGAAAAGACAAGAGTAGATAAGAATAGAAAAGAGATGAAAAGAGATGAAAAGAGTAGAGTAGAGAAGAGTAGAGCACAGGCACCGATTTGGTGCCAAAGAAACGCTGCAAGTGGCAACTCCATCAAACTTACCCTGAATTTGATTCCTCTGAATACAAAGACTGAGGTCCCCCAAAACACGGAAGTCCCATGAATTGGGTGGACTCGTGTTGGACAAACGCAAGGCAATGGAAAATCCAAAAATCCCCCGTGGATGGTTATCCTACTTCCAAAAGAACGAGATTATGAAACCAAAGGGTCATGTTATGTGTGTGTATATATATATATATGTGTATATATATATATATATATGTATATATATATACACGAAATGTCTAGGTTGACCTTTCAAAAATCAGGAATCTACCCCCCAATTTACAGCCGATTTTCCACAATACCGCCGTGATTTTGGGATACCATGGTCGTGCGTTGGGGTCCACACCGGAGGAACTAAGACCTTGGCGCCCGCCACGGCAGCGCCAGACAGCACTGTAGATAGTCATGGAAATGGGAAAAAAATCAGGCTGACATTTAGCTGGTGAATGGATGTTTATTCGCCTGAATATGGTAACAATCGATGTGAGCCATCCCTCACATCTATCCTATTTTGGATTCCCGAGGGAAAGAAAACAAAGAGGTGGATGATAGCCACCCCCATCAAGATGAAAGAAATACACCCTGGAACAATAGCCAACGAAGGTTTACCCAAATCAGCAACTGCGCATCAAACTGAAGCTCAAACACAACGTCGAACAGCATTTTTTCCAAACCATCCTCCAAATCAAACTGGGTCTGCATGGAAAATTGATGATAATATGTCGCTATACGATCCAATATAATATAGTATAGTTGGATCCATGAACTGGGAAATCCTATCAAAAGTGATGGTCAATTCCCGTTTTCGTGGCATGTGTCCACCCTTCAGTGTCAGAGGGTATGTGATCTTCGAGGGGTGAGAAAATACAGTTGGCCGGGCTGAGAATCGTATAAAACATGCCGAACCAGCTAGCGGACAGCAACCTGGTTCGCTATCTGGGGTAGATGCTAAACACAATGGCTGCCTATTCTTAATACATAATGTTATATATATATATTATAAAGACAAACATTGATGTTCTTTTTTGGTGGCATGTCAGATGAGGACGTGGAGCAGCCTGCTCTGGTCAGCTGGTGAGCTGATGGCCAAGTGACCATTGGAATAACCAGTGATGGTACATGTTCAAAGTATATAAAGCCAATAAAATCTTGAAACAAAAATTTTGGATAGAAGACTATGATGCTATGTTTATTTCTAGAATTCTATAAGACTATGATACTATGTTTATCTATATAAAAAGACTATGATACTATGTTTCCAGCTATATAATTCTAGTACCCTCTGGTAAATCAACAAACATGGCTGGAAGATCTTCCGGTTCGCCAGCGACAGTCTTCCCACTGAAATGCCCTTTGTGGTTCCGGTTTTTTCCATTTGTTGAACTAACATAGCCATGGAAAATCATAATTTTTAATAGGTAAACCATCTATAAATCACCATGTTTAATAGGTAATCACAATGGTTATGTAATCGGACTTATAGCTATATAGATCAACTGTCCAGTTCGCTATGTCACTTTACCAGAGGGTAAATCCCAAGAAAATCCACATGGTTTTCCCCTCTAAGCGCTCCAGCAGTGAGTAAACCCGGAGGAGGTTCGCCTCGTCAGGGCTCCATCAGGTTCACTGGGGTGAACTAAGCCACAACACCAGGCAAAAATGCCACGTTGAACGAGGGAAAAGGATGAAAAATCCATGAGATTTCAGAACCTCTGGTTCTCAAGGAAATCTTCATAAAATTAAGATATTGGAAAATGATAAACAATTAAAGAATATCCTTGGGACCTTGGGATGATTGTCTATGATTTTCCAATATGATCTTGTTCCAAAGGAAAACCCTTTTGGTATTTGGGACCTGGGACCACTGGGACATCCAAATTGCCCATCCAAATTCTAAAAGGAAGCCTGGGAAGGATTGATCAATCCATTGGGATCATCGGAATGATAAGATATTATACATATATATATATATTATTATGTTATATTATATTATATTATATTATATTATTTATATATATATATATATATTATATATATTATATATATATTATATATTATATATATATATTATATATACAGTATATATATTATTATTATTATCATTATTATTATTATTATTATATATATATTATGTATCTGCATATGTATATGTATATGTCGAATATTAAGTCATTGATGACCCCAATTTGTACTCTCTTTCGCTTGGTGTCGATTCTGATGGCCGGCCAGGACTCCGGACAGGGCACGCCGAAGGAGGTGAATTGATGGCTGGGCGCATGCCATTCCTCCCGGTGTTTATGACATTCGGAGCCTGAGTCGCCCATGGCCGTCTCCGAAGGTTTCGGAGGGCGAGATAGATGAAATTTGTTGGGTTTCCATGGGGGTACCCCCATTCGTGGACTGTTTATCATGGAAAATCCCCATCTAAAATGGATGATTTGGGGGTACCCACATTTTAGGAAACCTCCACATGTTAAGAGTTATTGGAAATGCTGATCCGACAGGTGTATACCAAGCGTTGGCCTTGGCGGCTTTCCCAGGGAAATCCTATGCCATTTTTACTTCCCATGGGGATGGTTGAAATCCCCATAGAATTGGTGATGAAACTCGGGGATGGTACCCTCTGGTAAACTGTCCCAAAAAAACTATGGAAAGATCCACCATTTTTACTGGGTAAATCAACTATTTCGACTGGGCATGACTGGGCCATTTTCAATAGCGAACTGTTAGTCACTACCAGAGGGTAAACATGGCAGCCTGGCTTTACCACACTCGTACTGCTCCAGATATATGGGCTGTGGGCTATCCATTCCATCCTCTGGTTAATCATGCTCTAGGGATCCAACGATAAACCATCCCCAAGTCATCACCATTTTATGGCTGGGATTCAAACCGTCCCCCAATGGTTGGTTTATGGTATTGGGTTTCCCACATATATATGGTGGATCCATTTATCTCATTTATTGGCTGGATTAACCCTACTTATCTCACTCAAAAATTGGGCTTATAATCCACTTACTACCATAGATACGATACATCACCCATTTTATGAGCCAAATCATCGAACTCAATGGTGCATGTAAACCCTAGGCAAACTCTTAGATTACTAAATCATATAAACCATTATCTAGATGGTTAAACCATGTTAAACCGTTATAAACCATGTTCAACCGTGATTTTTCATGGTTTGTCTTCCATTCGATCCCCTTTTCGATGGTGAAATACCCTCTGGTAAACATACAAAAAAGTATGGAAAATCACCATGCTATCAATGGGTAAATCCACGAACTAAATGGTCATTTTCAATAGCTACGTAACAAATTACCAGAGGGTATTATCCATTATATCCCCTATAAATCCCTATAAATCCCTATAAATCCCCATAAATCATCATAAATCCCCATTATTAGGAGGGTAAATCCCAGATGACTCGCTGACGAGGCGCACATCATGAAGTCCTCGCAGTCCTTGCAGCGAAAGCACTCCCCGACCATGGGCGAAATGGCGCCTGGGCCAGCGAAGGGCGGTGAAACCGAGACAAAAAGGTGCCGGAATTTACGAGCTGAAGCTGGGATGGTGGAATGATATATATAATAGATATATGATGTGTATATATATATATATACAATGTATGTATATACAATATATGCATATACAATGTATGTACATACATGGATTTCATGGGAATGGGTTAGAAGCAGATACCAGAAAATAGGATGACTTCCTATGTCCTAGACCAGCCAGTGGCCTCAAATTTGATTCACTATATTCCCAACAATTGTTGACATGTGCAGGTTGACCTGCATCTACATTCATATCCTCAGTCTCCCAAACCTGTCTGGGAGAAATACGACATAGTCAATGAAGAATTGGACTAACAAAAACTTCCATTTCATCTAAAATTCCCACACCGTGTATTCAAAATCAAGCAGAATAACTTGAAATCATAGCCATACCCCGCAAGACCTGCCCGTATCCTTTTCTGTGGCTTAGAAACTCCACTCATGCCTCGAACCCCTGTCTCCATCACATCTCAATTGTTGGTTGCAGTGTATACCAAAACATCTCCCCATCAAAAGATGATTCAAAATCTCAAAACCATGGCTTTCAATGATTTGGGGCTATCCCCATTTTTAGGAAACCTCCATGTGTTCATGGGTCAAAAAACATGGCTTTTCCCTTGAAAAAAACTCCCAGATCGCCATGGTACAAGCGCCACAAGCCAGGCCAAAGTGAACTGCTTCTCCACGCCGCATGGACCTGGGCCATGAGCCGAGGGGAAGGGACGACTTAAGCAGCTAGAACTGGGGACCTTCATGGGCAAAAAATGGGGGATTTCTGCACAAACGATTTGTCCATTGAGATGTTCCATGAAAAACCATTGATGAATATAAAATGAAATGGTGACATTGATTTATCATTGAAATTCAAACTCTCATTGAAAAATGGGGAAATTCACCATTGAAAAATGGGGGGAAAATTCTGCAGTGATAAACTTCTGATTGAACCACTGAAGTTCTTCGAAAAATGCCAAGTCGCTCCACCCAGCGTCGGCGTTCAGCCGCCTGGAACCCAGCATCTGGAAGAACCCAGGATGGGATATAGGTCTGTTGCTGCGGGCTTGACATTCTCGGAAACCCAAAAAAGCAAAAGTGGCCATCACCCTGGTCTCAATTGGAAAATGATCTTCAAATGGATGTTCTTCACCGTTTTCTGTTCCCAGGAAGCTTTATTGACCCTGTCATTTAGGCCCAGTTTGAGGAACTCGAAGAGTAGAATTGCAACGTCAGCACACCATCTAGACTTTCGATGTCGCGGAGATGCTGGAAATTGAAACTTCAATTGATCGGTGACAGAATTCCAGCTTTTCCGCTACATATAAAGCCAATGGAGTATCAGTATCACCGTTGAAATTGGTATTTTGGGCTATAGCCCATCTTTGGACGAACCCCGCTGGCAAACTTTGGCAGATGTGTGGTGCACCGGTGCCTGCTGCTGTTGTTCCAGGGCCAAGCGCTCTCTTTTCACCTGAGGCTGATGGGGTTACAGGTGGTTCACCAGTCTCTGACCACCATTTCGCTCGGAAAGTCGGAACCCTTGGGGAATGGGGTCTGATCAAGTGACCCTTGGCAAGGGCTTACTTAAACACCGGACAATCACTTTTTAAGAACCACTTTTACAAAGACAAATCTGGACTCGGTCTGAGTTTTGGGGGGGTCACCTTTGGGGGTGACATTCCATTCCATTTTATTCCACTACATCCACATAAATGGTTGCTTTGATATATAGTCATCCACAAAAAGTAGATAGAATATGGGACTTTCAAAAACATGCCCTAGATTTTGAATCTTTGAAAATTCCTTTTATTTTATCTACTCCAGGATCGCTATAATTATATATCTAAATCCCAATTTTGTTGGGTTTTCCTCCGGTCATCAAACCTGGCAATGGAAAATCCAGCCATTACGTGGCAATGCTCGGGGAGGAAATCCAGCCACGGAACAGCGAGAGGGTAAATCTGCCCATTTTGTCACACCTCGTCTCCTGTAGACTTCCGATCTTTTTACGGATTAAAGTGGGATAGTCATCTGATATCCATATGGGATAGTCATCCCTATATCTGATGGGATATCCATAATCTATCTTTTAGACTATCCATCTTTTATCTGATATCCATAATCTATCCCTAGAATGGGATAGTCATCTGATATCCATTAGATGGCAATGGAATCTTGATGGAATGTGAATGAGATATATGATATGAATATCAACGGAGTCTGAATGGGATAACCCCTTCCCACATTCACGGTTGAACACTCCCCCAGAAACCATGGTGGATGTACGGAATCAAATCACAAATGTGGGACCATTAATGATGTTTAATATTCGGGGGACGGGATTATCAACATATGTGTATATAGTATCTACCATTCACTTATGTTGCAAATTACTTTTATTACTATGATTGTTAGCACTTTTTAGTCATGATCATGTTTGCCGTAATTAAGTGTTGTCGTTGTCAAAATATTGTTCTTTATTTGTCAAATGACTGTCCAACCACTTTAGACTTTAGCTCCTACATATGTACATGCTAACATTCCCAATATGTATTTCTATAAATGGTGATTGATCACCACTTGTTGTCATCATTGCTGTTTATTTCTACATCATCATACATCCACCAAGTCCAATCATGTCAACCCTGGATTTCTCTTCAGATGACATCCCAAAAATTGGGGGGGTAACCCTCCGATCCCAAAAATCAACCAGGCTTCAGAGTCTCATCCTCCCCAGCATCCCCCATATTTTCAATGGGCTGGGCAAGCGGGTCACAAGTTTTCATGCTTGCCATTCACAAAAATGCCTACTAGTATGGTCCAAAAAAGTGTTGAACATCTTCCCAGTAGATTCCCCGGGTGGATGAATCAATCAGGGCTTTTTCAACAAGAATCACCGCATTCGTTAAGCATTCGTAGCTCCAACTGGCTCCCCATTGCTTGGGAATATCCCCTAGCTCCAACTGGCTCCCTCAATCTGGCGGAAAATAGGTCGTTTGGGGATGATTCCCAACCACTCATGATCATTCCAGTGACGTCCTGATATCATGATTGAATCCTGATTAGTTATAGTTTTTATAGACTTTAGATGATATATAATGATGACAGATTCTTATGAAAAAAAAAAAACTCTATTTCTGGTCTATTTATAGTTCTTACATATTCCATTTATTAACGATATCATTGTGATGATCATGGATACTAAGCACCCAAAAAAAATGTCATAATGGATAGTAAGTACCAAATCATTCACTATTACAACCATAAATGATGTTAATGTGGATAAAAGAATGATGTATACCACCTATGGTGATTTGGGGATGGTTTATTCTTCTTTTACCCGCATTAGATATCATTCTATATCCTCAAATCATGGACTTAGTATATCCATAAATGATGTAAGATATCACTATATATCTAGATTATGAACCATAAATGATGTTATCATCTGGTTATTTAACTAGCGAACTGGAAAATCCATGACATAAATGGAGGTTTCTAGCTGGGAAAATCATCTGTTTCTATGGGCCATCTACTGTATACCATAGCTATGTTAAATAACCAGAGGGTATATCATGAACATTAGCCATCAACTATAGTTAAACCATTAACTATAACTACCAGCCAAACTATAGACTATATATACTATATCTCTACCATAAACCATAGTTAACTATAGTTTCCCAATCATAGTAATTCATCTATCATGTTATTTAACATAGTAAGTTATTAACAAATCCTGAGATATAACAAATCCAGACTGGTATTTTCCAATGGTTAATACCTATAACTCAAATTCATCCAGACTGATAGTAAGTACCCAGACTGCCCATCGGCCGCCTTCTCTAATGCCTCCGCTTCCTCCTTGAGTCCGATGCTGCGCAGATACCTGCAGCGAGCTTGAGAGACCCAAAAAAGGGTACGGAGTCGGGGGACTTTGACAAAAATAAAGGAGAAATCATGTTCTATTACTATGGATTTGTATGCATTTATACAGATCTATATGGATTTATACAAATGGATTTAATTAGATCTTCTATGGATTCTATGGATCTCAAATGGAATTGACCCTCTGGTAATTAAACGTGGCTGGTTGGAAACTCCTCGAACTAAACAGAGGTTTATAGGGAAAATCATCGAATGAAATTGGGATGTTGGATTGCCACGTTTAAATACCAATTGTTCTTGGATGATTTGAGATCATTTATTGTTTATTTTGATGGTTGAGAAACAAATGAAGCCACAAACGTTGAGGATTGATGGTGCTTACCTGTAAAAGCCATCAACCCGAGAATAGCGGAGGTGAAAACCATGAAAATAGGTATCAGGCCAATGATAACAAAGATGGAAAGAAATCGATGATGGAAGTTGGGGATGCTACAAGCCACTTCTAGCATTCTAGCCCAACTGGTAGTGGATATGTCAGCAAAAAAAACTGGGAGGTTGGGTTCGCAAAAAAGACTAGATCGATAGTATATGATAGTATCAAGCTGCTTGTGGGCCATACTCATCAACACTTCTGAACCATCTTCTTCCAACTTAAATAAAAACCACCATTGCCAGATCCCGAAAAAAAAAAAAACGCCCTGTTCAGAAATCCCATTGGCTTCATCATCATGTTTCCCTTTAGGTTATGGATATGGATATGAAATCCCATTGTGCATAGCTTTAGGTTTTAGATTCTCATTCTATGATATTTTATGATATTTTATGGCTACCCTCCAGTAGCTATTAGCACAGTTTGCTATTGAAAATATAACCCATTTCGTGAAAAATGGAACAAACGCACCGGCCTCACATCATCGACCTCGAGTTCCATCCTGCGTCAGGATATCTGACGTTGCTCTGTTTGGATGTTTAGTGACTAGTAGATGGGCACAAATGACAACCAGCAACACCCAACCGAATTTTCTTTGTGCAAAACGTGCATCTGGTTTAACTACAAATACCAGCAAAACAGAACTCAGGTAGAACATAAAGGGGGTGACCATATTTGTTCATGGCAGACAGAATTCGAGCATTGATAGCCATTGATGATCATTCATGCAGAAGAAACATTGAAAACTCTCCCCAAACCTCTGCAAAAACCTGCCCCCCATGAGTGCCCCGTCTGAAAAAACATTCCAAAGGCGGCTTGGATCATGATCCTATCGTAATTGAAACGAGGATTTCTCCTGGAGAAAGCCTGGTGTTGGGTTTCCCCCACATTTTTTTTGTCGCTACCATGTAACCGCCGTACGTCGGCCTACAGGTCGGACAGGTGTGTCTTCGCGTCAACCAGCGTCGGATACAATCCTCAATCGCGGGCGGGTGATCATGACTGATGTGACTGATCATATCACCTGGCTGCACCGAAAAGATTTTCAGAAAACTCGACATCTTTCACCAACCGAGTTCGATGGCTGGCCCCCAGAAAAATATGGGGCTCTCAGCTTGAAATATCGCTTGCCCAGGCCATGGCCCCAAAAAAAAGGGGGCAGGCGAAACATCGGAAATTGACCATCTGGTCACTGGAGAGTCCTGTGAAACTCAGCGGCTGCCACACTGAATACACAGAAAAGACTTAAAAAAATATTTGGAGATAACCTGGGGTAAACGTTTAGATGTGGAAAATCCATGATTTCCCATTCGGAAGACCACATCAAACTGCTACAGGAGGGGACCATCTGAGTTGTTTCATGTTGCTCCACCTGAACAAATCACCCATAGTGTCCACGCGCCTACTGGCAGGGTAACTGGATATAAATTCAATGGATCGGTTTAAGGGAAAATCTACAGGAAACCATTGGTTTTTCCATTAAACATTGGGTTTTCCCCTGTAAATCATCCATCCAATTCTGTGATAAATGGTACTGTTCACTTGCCACAAACACAAGACAAAATATGACAGTGACAGTCCCATGTTAACAGGATTTCCCAAATAACATTCCCCATGAATAGTAGTGACTGTTGACAATAGTTATCACGTCCCAAACAACAACTGTGGCAAGCCCCACATACGTCCCTTCCACCGCAATCGGAGCTGTTCACCTCGTGAAAATGGTGCTGGCAATTCAGCGTGACCACCGGCGTCCCATGCTGCGGCAGTGGATGTTCAGGAATATCATGGGAATATCATGGGAAAATTGTTGGGGATACCATGGGAATATAATCAACACCTGTTAGGATTCTTAGGTGTTCACCCACGTGGATTTGGAGTATATGTGCCAGGGTCAAGTTACATCAAGTTACATGGGATTCATGGTCGATGGTCATCCAACTCTGGACCCTGGCCATATGGGGAAGGCGCTTTGCTGCGAGTCTATCGGGGGGAACTCAATGGCTCCGATCGAGTTTGGTCGCAGGTCTGGGCTGCCCGAAACCTGATTTCATGCGGATGGTACTAGTGAATCAGAAGCAAAAGTGGCCAATCTTTTGTGGTTTTCTGCTCTTTTCTAGGCATTGCTTCATTGCTGTAAAGTGGTTCCCATCTTCTAACTGGGCGCGTCTTAAATAAGAGGGGACCCCAAAGTCCCGCCAGCTTTTGAAAATCATTGTCCCTATGGTAGCATGTCTTCCCTTTTACAGCACAAGATTCACACCAAGCCAGTAAATCAGTATATATCTTAAGGACTACAATACGTGTGACTAAAGTACTTTAGTTCCATCAAGTGTACTCTCCAGTAATTTAACAGTTTGCTATGGAAAATGACCATTTAGTTGGTTCATTTACCCAATATTTACCCCAAAAATGATGATTTCCCACAACTTTGCCCACAAAATTCAGTCGAACGCCTCCAAGATGTCTTCGGCACAAATCACGCAGTGCCCACCACTCAACGCTTCCACGCGGGTGGAGACCTGGACGTTTGGAACGATCCCAGGAATTCCAGGTGCTTTCGGGGCCACCACTTTTTGGGGATCCAAAAGCCAACCGATGGAAAAAACAGCTGGGATGTTTGGAGATGTTTTTTGCAAAGCCAAGAAATGCCGAAGTTGAACCACTGGGATTTCATCGGGATTGTACTGGCAGACATGGTGGGCTGATACATCCCCATTTTTACGTGGAAGTGATGATCGGAGGATAAGTAATCTGGGTGCTCGTAAGTCCGTTGTCCCATTTAGAACCAGGCTGGTTAGTAAGTGCTTATCATGAGTTGAATATTCTTCCAAGTAAAGTAGTTAGCTTTGAATCTTATTCGTAGTCTATTGAGCATCCCTGGTGTTTACACTCCAATCAAAAGTGGCAACTGGAAATCCCCCAAATAGAGGTTTGAATGGGAAAATTGACATTCTGGGGAAGTTTCCAGTAAGCAATGCCTGTTTACTGAAGTTCGAAAGGTAGGGCCACCTGGCATCCATGAAACATGACGAGCAGAGACCTTGATCGTATTGGCAAAGATACCACAACACCAAGATGGTCATGTCTACTGTCAAACATCCACTGTTGGGCGTTGGGGATACAAATGGTGGTTGGACCTCGAGTTTGTTGTGTATGTAAATGTGTTTACTATTTATCAAATATGTATATTTATATGTATGTTCCCATTTCTCTTCATTAGACGCATGTTCACTGTCTTGTTGGCTATACACGGTGTTACTTAAAAGTTATATCCCATGATTGTTGCATTATTGCATTCTCTCAAATCCCGGCCAATAACCCTCATGAGATTGTTTGGGCTGCAGTGGCTATTGGCTAATTCCGAGAAGGGCCCCTCTCCCGAATTTCTGTTTTGTGGAATCTCTTCGTAGCTCCACCTGACTCCCTACCGGAGAAGGCCCAAACATCCAACGCCCACCCGTGGCAGGTGCAGCTACCCCACCTGGAGTCTGGAGACAAAGGCATCACAGGCAGGTTCGGGCGGCAGTTCCCACTCCTACTACCGTGGCGCGGTAGGCGCTGGGACTGTGCTGGCAGTCCCCATCAGCTGCCATGTCTTCTATGAGGACATGATGACATGTGCTAATCACTAGCCGAGTCATTCCAGTTGAAGTCATATGAAGTCATATGAAGTCATATGAAGCCATATTTCCCAGTGATACTAGTGATACTCTGACTCTGTTTCCCCCTGGTGCCCCAAATTCACGGAATAATATCATTGCCTACGGGTACGACGCTAGGACTCAATCGAAGCTTGAGAAACATCAAGTGATGGGTGAATGGATGTAGAGTTTACCTTATTTTCCTGTAGCTTTTGATGAGAAAAAACAATGGTGTCCAGCACATGTTCCCTTAAATAAAACCATTCACTATTATATGTGCTGGTGCAATATCACTGGTTTCGGAACCTCTAAATAGATTGAAAGGGTGAAAGCCTGGAAATAAATATATGATAACCCCAAGAAAGATAGAAAAGGTTCAGAGTACCACTAAATTTTAGTCGGTCTTTACTACACTTTATTTGCTTTGATAGTTGCTTTACCAATCTTTATCACATCCCAGTTATGTTTTACTTCTCTACATTCCCAGCCACATTCCAAACTCCCCCATGATGTCCCCATGAAACATCCTCGTCCCCACCCTCTGGTAATCAAACATGCTTGGAAAATCCCAGTACCATATTTAGAAACCAATGATGTTCGCGAACCAAACCTCCATGGAGTGACCAGTGATTTTTATGCCGTATTTGATGACACCAGGTACATGGATATTCCAGAAGAGTCCACGAGAATCCACGAGCTAACCCATGGTACCTGTTTACCAGATGGTACATCCATTTAAAATCCATAGAATCCATAGAAAAGATACGTATATAAGTTCCATATAAATCCAACCTGAACCTAGAAATGGATAGAAATGGAGATACCAAAGGGTACATCCTGGAAACTTGAAAAAATCTGGAAAATCCCTAGCCTGATCCTGCTCTTCCGCCAGGCTAATGGGCGCCGAGAGACTGCCTGCAGGCCCACCCAAAATGATGCTTTAAAGCACCATAAAATTGCGATCTACCATTGAAAATGGCCATTTATAGTGGATTCTCCAATTAAAAATGGTGATTTTCCCTATTAAAAATGGTGATTTTCCATGGCTATGTTAAATAACCAGATGGTAATTCTAATGGGGAAATTAGGTTTCGAACAATACGATTTTTGGGTACCCGATTTCAAACAAACCGACCGATATGTTACCAACAACCCCGGAAATTCCGCAAAATGCTTTCTTACATGCGGACATCATAAGAACTTCGCAACTGGGGGTGCCCTTCAGAGAAACCCAAATGAACAACTAGAAATACATGTATATACCATGTATATGCACGTACGTACGTGCAGTGCCTGGCTCGCTCTCGACGGGGCGCGCCACCACGTTGGGCAGAACGCGCAACAAGAGGCCCCCGTCCTGACCCCGGAGCCCGAAAAGAACGTTGTGGTTCCCATAGCTGAGAAATGACCGGATGATCTCAATGGATTGATTTAAGATGGTGTTAAGGGAAAAACGCAGGAAAACCTAGGTGTTTTAGCATGAAAATGATGGTTTGCTAGTGTCCCTTCAACCAATTTTTGGATATCACCAACTCAAAGTTGGAATCCAAGCACGGAAGTACCAAGGGTTTTGAATGGCCGGCCAATAAGCAGTGAAGGCATAGTCAACCATGATGTTTTCCACCTCAACCCAGCAGTTTCCCGAGGGGAACTTCCAACCCATTCCACAATTCCACAGGGTGACCTGCTGTCCAACTCACAGAAAATGACAGTGTTCAATTCCACAATTCCATATTATTCTTGTTACTTCCATCCTTCCGGGGAAAAAAAAACAACATATTCAGAAACACCTGGGCAACTTGCAACTTCACGAAGAAGACATGTTGCCCATTTTTGGTGTGGTTCGCATTCGTATAAAGCATCATCGGGACTGGTCTGCCGATGAAGTCGCTGTTGATACATTTTCAAATGTGGGCAAGGTCTGGAAAAATATCGTAACAAATACCAGTGGTGTTTTAAAAAATGTTCAATCTGGTGTGACATTGGTAAAATGTACAAAGGTATATATGTATGTAAAGGTTAGGTAACATTGATACGAACGTTGGCAAAAATGATACTATGTTTTCTAGAATCATATTGGTCTTCGAAAAATATCGTTTTAAAACAATTTCAAGATGAAAAAAATCTAAATGTATCTAAATGTTAGCTTACAAATTTTGTTGCGATGTGGGTAAATCAATAATAATAATGATAAACCATCCCCCAGTCACCATTTTTATAGGTGGTACCCTCCAGTAAATTAACATAGACCCTGCCATGACTTGGGGGTTGGAAGATTAGTTTCCATTAAAAATTTGCTATTTTCAGGGTCTATGTTTATTTACCAGAGGGTATGTTTACCATCTGGTTATTTAACATAGCCATGGAAAATCCCCATTTTTAATAGGTAAACCATCTATAAATGGGGCCATCTATACCATGGCTATGTTAAATAACCAGAGGGTACCATTCCCAGTCATGGCGGCAGTTTCTTCCCACTCCTCCGGTCGTTCCAAGGCCACTACCGAAACAGACCTCGCGATGGCTCGCGATGGCTCGCGGCGTCAAAGTTGTTTGACATTGCAAAAATCTGCTCTTAAAGGGTTTGGAAAGTCGAAATTATGATGAAATTATGATGAAATTATGATGAAATTATGATGAAATTATGATGAAATTATGATGAAATTATGATGAAATATGATGAAATTATGATGAAAATTATGGTTTTGCTTTCAAAAAGCCATGAAATCTATGTTTCTTGGGGATTTGGGTAACCAGAAATTTTCATGGCTTGATTGGCAGCAACATCGCTTTCTTGTGGAGTTTCCGAACTAAGAACGGGATCTAGCGATCTACCCGGAATTGGCAAACCTCTCAGCAAGCCCCTCTCATAATGACCCACATGTTGGTCCAAAAAAAAACAGGGGCAAAAAGCAAAAGTCGTTACATGCAAGGAGAAAAAAAATTGGAACTGATATTCCCCCGTGCCGCGCTCTAAATTATCCAACATCCAAATCCTGCTGCACTGGAGCAACAAACTATTGTATCATCATTTACATCAACTAAAATCACAGCCTGGCAACCGCGGCCTCCTAGCCGTGCGGCTTCTTTTTGCATAAGAAAACGTTGCAAATATCCAACACAGGCAGAAATACGACATAAACGTTTTCCTAGAGTTTCAGAAGCTGATCTTGCACTGCATTGCTGTCACCACCACAATCTGGATAGCCCCATGTAACCGCAGATCCATCTGCCAGGATCGCAGCAAATGCGCCCAGTGTGCCCTGGACCTGCTGCACATTCCTGAGCTGATCTTGCACTGCAGAGCTGTCAGCAGTATAATCTGGATGGCCCCATGTGATTATCCTGTTGCCACTACAGCACCACAAAGCGAAGGCGCCGCCTTCGCCACAGGGACCCATCTTTTCTGTTACTGCCAGCTTCGCTTGAAGTACAACGGCAGTGATGCACTCTTCCTCTCTGAGCCCTTCACTCAACAGCCTCAACAGCGACTGCCCATCCTCTGTAGGGTCACCCAAAATGCGCCCATCTGCAGTGACAAGCCTCAGGAATCCTTGTTGAAACGACCTCTCCGCCGAAATCTTCAAGTCCCCAACTTGGGAAAGCTCGGTTTCACGTGGCGAGCCACGTCCACCACTTGAGCCTCTTGGAACAACAAATATGGTTCAAGAACGGTTAGCACCTGTAACCTCGGTAGTGTCAATTTTCATACCAGATCTTCATATTTTCTACATGTTGTACTGTATATATATATATATGTAATGGATGTGTTTTTGTTGGGACAAAAACGTATAAACTACCCCCAAGAATTTGAACCGGTTTTCCCAAAAACATGTTCTAGGATTTGAGGTGATTTTCCCAATGATTATGTAATTGGAAAACAAAAAATGATGTTAAATCACCAGCCAAAAACCTGTTTCAATGTTTTGCGCATGGATGTTACCAGAAAATTGGCCTTGCCAGTTTGTTGGTAGAGGCATTCCGATTCACTTCAAAATGACATCGATCCTTTTTTGCAACCTGCGCCATTAAACATATGCATTTTGCTTGGTTCTGCTCGTGGGGGTTATACTTGCCAATATGCTGGGGTCGGGTTTTGATCATCTATTGGTGTTGAACCTGTGGGTTGAGGGATGTCAATGATTCTGATTTTGGAGTGTTCACTCCGATTGGTCTTCCGAAATTTCACCATCTACCCACACGGTGCAGTTGGGGCTAATCGCATCACGGTGATCACCAGCTGCTTCGATGGTCGTCCGCCTCTTTGAGTTGACGATCATTTTCCCCTGGTGAATCATGGCATTTTGGGGTGCAGTTCTACTGTGTTTATATGCCCAAATCCAATTCATATGGTTGGTATTATACATATATATATATATATTGTAATTAAATTGTGTCCCTCTTATTTTCCCAGTGTATCCCATCACGTTGTATAACCAAACCCATGTCGTATCATATCATCATATCATTATATTGATCTATTTTCTTATTCACTTGGTTCACTTATTTATTCAATTATTCATGTATCTATTTATTGATTCATGTATTTACAGTATTTGTTTGTATGCAGTCATCCTAGAGTAGAAAAAGAAACTTCAAACATCATCTCTAAACTCTAAACTGGAAACATGAATGAAACATGTTTCAAAATTCGACATTCGTTCTACTTCAGGATGATGATGATGATCATGATGATCATGATCATGATCATAGTGGTGACATCCCTATCAGTTAGCAAAAAAAAATTACACCCCAACGACCCCAACCCCATCCATCACCAAGGCACTCCACGCGCATGGACGTCGCTGCCGGATTCGCCCCGGCCGAACTGGAGGAGGCGCGGTGCGTGGGCAGAGACGCACCTCAGGGCCCGGAGGGTCATCGCAAAATGGTGATTTTTTAGCAACACAAATTGTGATTTTACCAGGCAAGACTTGTAATTCTATGAGAAAAAATGGTGGTTTTTCAAAAATGGTGATCCTGAAATGGGGGATACTTACATCATCAGCATATATCAAATCCAATATACCCAAACAATGTCTGGGCCCCTGATAGACGAACAGATTCTGAATCCCATCTGGATCCATTTGGTGTAAACAATGCCAGGTTTACCATGTCATCTGAGGATGGTGCTGATTTTATTCCATACCCAGTTGGGATTTTAATGATTCTGTCACCATTTCCTAAAAGCAATGGATGTCCCTGGTTTATTGGGCACCTAGAGTTCCATGTATAGCTGGGATATGCTGGGGTATACCTCTGCTTACCAGGTGTCGGCAGAGTGTGGGCGGACTTAATGACAGGACCCAACACATCCGTTGTGTCAGCTGGCAAGTTGGAATGCTGATGATGGTTGTGAAAAAGCCTCAAAAGCAGCAAGCACTTCATGGAGCGCAATATCATGGATTGGTGCCAAATGTGGTGCTTCGATTTCAGACCTGCGGTCAGAATTGCCTCTATGACGTTCATATTAAATTGCTATCAGTCTGACAAGGGTACACGCGTATGTGGGTGGTGGTTGTGATCGCCATGCAAACCGGTTGCAGGTCGTGAAATATTTCGGAACATGTTCGAGATTTCAAAATGGAATGTGAAGGTTTTGTTTGCCAAGTATTGTCAAATTCCAAAATCAAAGCCACTTAAAAAGGTACCCCAACGAATCCTCATGCAGTGTTTCTTTCTGTTTGGAAATTTGCTTTGGAGTCTGAAAAATGGGAAACTGAACCATGCGACGCACACATGAGTTTGGATGAGTTTGGCAGAGTGCACCAGCCAGAAATCACCCGGTCTCAGGAAATCAACTGGGTCTCAGAACATGTCCTACGTGCCAAGAAAATGCCATTCAGATCAACACAATGAATCACTGCAATAAACGACCAATTGCTCTCCTAAGTCGTTGGGTAAAGCCAACAAATTAACATTTTCCCTGGTCCTCCTATATCATGCTTCATCTTGCTGACTCATATTTTTTTCATGGTGCACCCCCGGATCAGTCGATTCAACGATATTACTGTGGTTTTTCAATCTTCATTTTTCTTGAAATCACAATTCTGCGCATCCCTGTTTTTTGCTACTCAAATCACGATGTTTTTTCTTCGATCCCTTTGCTTGCTGGTTCAATCCCAGTTTTTACTCGACAAAAGCCCATGTTCACCATTTAAACTACCATTTTTTGGATATGTTTGTTAGTTACATCACATTCTTGTTAGTTGAATCACCATGTTTGCTGCAAAGATGTCAGAGTGCCCCCACGCGACAAAGCTCTCATCGCGGAAGTGGGCGAGGTCACAGGAAGACGTGCCTTGAATCAAAATGGGACAACCGTGGTGTCATCCACCAGGTGTCTTGGAATTTCCCTCTGGTGATTCATCAGTTTGCTATGGAAAATGCCCATTTGGTTCGTTGATTTACCTATCAAAAATGGTGATTTTTTCCGTATGGCTATGTTAAATTACCAGAGGGTATGCTCTCTAAATGGAGGTTTCTAGCTGGGAAAACATGGAAAATCATCTATAAAATAGGGGATGTCAGGGATGTCCATTGCCAGGTTTGATTACCGCAGGGTATCGATGGCTGTCCTGGATTTTATGCCATAAAACTCCCAAAATTTCCAGCGAGCCCAAACCGATTTTTCACGGGGAAACCCATGTTTTGCGCACTCCCCGATCTTGGACATATATCCATCTACCATGCCATCCATCGATCTATCTCAATATCTATCCACCCATTCATCTTTAGAAGAACCCTCAAGTGCGTAAAAGGTCGGTGTTTACCGTGTTGTGTAATGTTTTTTCTTTAGAACATCACTACCGACGTCCCCTGCTTTCTTGATCTATGCGTTTCCACTGTTCCTGTATTGTTCATTGCATTCCGCCTAGCTATCGGCCCTGCGTACCCAATGCAATCTATGCCTTTTGTTGTTGGCTCGGACGTCGGGGTTCGTCACGCAGAACAGGCTCGTCTTGTCCTATAAATTACAGGACATGTCGCACAGGGAAACGCAAGACGTCGTAGGCGCCGCGTTTTACCCTGTTGATGCAGGGAATTCAAGTTCCGATTGAAAACCTCGCTAAATAGTCCCAAGTTTTGTACATGTTTCATTCATGACAACTGATTGATATTCATACCTTGAACATCAGCAATATTTCACCGCTTCTGTAGACTTCATTGCCCATGGATGTCATTGACTTGGCGCTTCGGCTGGCGTTGACCTATGTGTACTTGCTGAGAAGCAGCAATCATTGTGTCGCAGCCCATCTGGTGGCTCCTGACTTCATAACAGTTTTGCATGTACCTTGTCTTTGCTCGGCTGATCTGGGGGTGGTGGGGGGGTTCCAGGGGGGAAATAACGTTCTTGCTTCTGCGATTTTTGATGCTACGCTCTTCAACTTTGTAGAGTAACTTCCAAGACACCCTTGATGGTACCTTCTTCAACTCTAGATAGCAGTTCTGACGAGGATGAGGATGAGGATGAGGATAAGGATGAGGATGAGGATGAGGATGAGGATGAGGATGAGGATGATGATGATGATGATGATGATGAGGATGAGGATGATGCTGATGATGATGATGATGATGATGATGCTGATGATGCTGATGATGCTGATGATGCTGATGATGATGATGATGATGATGATGATGATGCTGATGATGATGATGCTGATGATGCTGATGATGCTGATGATGCTGATGATGCTGATGATGCTGATGATGCTGGTGATGCTGGTGATGCTGGTGATGCTGATGATGCTGATGATGCTGATGCTGCTGATGCTGCTGCTGATGATGATGATGCTGATGATGCTGATGATGCTGATGATGATGATGATGCTGATGATGCTGATGATGCTGGTGATGCTGATGATGCTGATGATGCTGATGATGCTGATGATGCTGATGATGCTGATGATGATGCTGATGATGCTGATGATGCTGATGATGCTGATGATGCTGATGATGCTGATGATGCTGATGATGCTGATGATGCTGATGATGCTGATGATGCTATGCTGATGATGCTGATGATGCTGATGCTGCTGATGCTGCTGATCATGATGATGATGATGATGATGATGATGATGTTGATGATGGTGGTGGTGGTGATGATTATGATTTTGATTATGTGGATGTGGATGTAGATGTGGATGTGCTCGGGTCATGTCGAACCCGGACGTCCACGCGTTGTTGTTTGAATCCCTGATTGTTTGAATGCGCCCAGAGAACTACTACTGGTGATATGCCGGTTTCGTGGGTTCTATCCCTGAGTTTGCACATCACATCCCCATATTTCAACCTGGTTTGTCCTTTGTGTTGGAGAACTAAAGAAATGATGGCTACATCAAGCATCAAAATCCAAATGCCAATAGAATACATGGGTGTGTCATCCTTTCCACCATTAGAATTGCCATTTAGGGGTATTCCCCATTTTCAGACAAGCCCAAATGGATACTAGTTCGTGGATATATCTCATATCAAAAACCACGAAAAAAGAGGACTTTCTCAGCTAGAAACCTCCACGGCTAGTTCTCGGACTCCCAGCTAGCCATGCTTGATTCTCATAGGTTACCTCTGATTCATGGCCTTGTAATGAATAAAACGACACCATCCTCATATCACAAACCATGTATAGATGATTTTCCCATGATACTCCCCACTATAAACACCACTATCAAGACCATATCCTTGCTAAAACCTGCCATGGCGCATCAGTGACTTCCACGCCATCGGTGGCACCGCAGGCCGCGCAGCCTACAGCTGGAATCCTCATGTATAGAAAGATTCTGGGAGATAATGCATTGTAGATAGATAGATAGATAGATAGATAGATAGATAGATAGATAGATTTCTGTCAGTATCTATATTCATATAGATATGTATATAAACAAATATATATATATATATGTGTGTGTGTACATGAGTAAGCATAAATGTTCGTATGCGGTACACACATATATATATATATAATGAACATATATATATATAATGAACATATATATATATATAATGAACATATATATATATAATGAATATATATATATAATGAATATATATATATATATAATGAATATATATATATATATAATGAATATATATATATAATGAACATATATATATATATGTGTTTATATATATATACATGTTAGTATCCCCATAAGTATGCATGCATGGATCCATGTGCATGTATTTATGCATGTACGTATGTATGTATTTGTGTACGCATGTATTCGTGAGAAGTTTAGGGCTTCAGTGGGCTGAATTTCGACATTTGGGATCATTTCGGCATCATTTTGGGTTTTCGCAAAATCTATCTGCAATATGAATTCAACATTTAGATGTGTATATGTGTACATAGATATAATCAATAGTTTTTGGTTTTTCTGGATATCTAGTGTGTGCATGTATATATATATAATATATATATATATAGAGTTATCTAGTATACATATTTTATATCTAGATAGCTGCCCTCAAAAAGAATGGATCTGAACTGCCGAAAATCGGGCCCCAGCATGGCCGCTCAAGGCCATCCACTATCGCCTTGGCGGGTGATTTTCATCGAATTTGAATGGCTTGAAACCAGGGAAGGTAAATTGAAACCCAAAAAACCATGGATGGCATTATGACATATCGAAAAGTGTCCGACTAGTGTCGTGTAGATGTTCCCTTCAAGCAATTCTGCGATCGGCAAACAAAGTTTAACGTGTAGTGAGATAAATGATAAATCCATCTTCTAAAAAAGGTGTATGATTACAATCCATCCACATTGGAGTTCTTCAAGTGACCCAAGTCTACATTGGGCGTTTTAGCTACACATGACCCAACATTGGTGACGAGATTGGCAGATAATGACCCAGCAGATCTGATTTCATTCATGAATTGGTTAAAAGGGAAATCTACAGGGAAAACCAGGGGATTCTTTCCATTTAACAAAGCGGATTCTTGCAGATTCTCCCTGAAACCAATCCATGTGCCCCAGAGAGAAATCAAAAATGACATTTAGAAGTTTACTTCTCGATCTGTTTAGGGTTTACTATATCAAAAATATAAATATATATATATATCATATACAATTTGCTTGTTGAAACGTATTTGATCAACATCATTTCCTCCAGAAACAGCAACTCTTCGCTGAATAAAATAAAGTGCATCTTTGCCGGGACCAACAACGTCTTTTAATTATGCAACAAAAATGGGCCCAGTACTGGGATATACCCTCTGGTAATTTAACAGTGCTATGTGAAATTGGTTATCTTGTTTATATATGTTTATATAGACCTCCATTTTGTTCAAGGATGTCGCAGCTAGTCATGTTTGGTTCTCATAGATGACTTCTGATTCATGCGTGGTCAACTCCCAGGTTACCATGCTGTCATCCGAAATCCCCGTCCTAGTGGTTTTTTCGATGGTTTTTCCCAGTTGAAATCAACAAATTCCAACTTGTGTTGCTTAAATCACAATTGCTGATGCTTCAACGAACTACGTTTCTTGTCTCTGCACCATCCCCATCAACACACCCAGCCACCGTGCGCGCTCCGCAACCGTGACAGAAGAGCCGGCCGTCGGCCGCCGAAGCGCCTGCGACAGCTTCGCGCAGTGCTGAAGGAGGCTCCAGAAATGGAATGATCATGGGAATCAGTGGCTATAATGGATGACAACGAACTACTATAGTAATTTGGACGAAAAAGACATGAAACACTATATTATCATAGAACTTTGTTAGTGGTTATATCCCATTTAGACTAACCGCTATAGTGTCGCTATAGTGTCGCTATAGTGTCGCTATAGTGCCGCTATAGTGCCGCTATAGTACTTATAATGTTAGTAGTTAATGATGATATAACCACTCATGATATTCCGGTTATCATTGCACTAACCACTAGAGTAATCTGGATGATAATGATATTAGCCACTATAGTATCATAGTGATTAATGGTTACATTCACTTTGCTAGTGGGTTACTAATTACTGTATCATTATCAGAATATAACCCACTACCATTAATTCATATATTGTTACGGCCAGGACCGGGGTGCTGCCCGGGGAAGTGTACTTTAACTGCGCAGGGGCAATGTTTTTATCCCTTCCCCCTAGTACTAACCCCCCCACAAATAATAAAAACTAGGGTCTGTCTCCAATTTTGGAAAATTTGAGGTTGGCCAATTTGATTTTTAATGGATCCCCTTTAGAAAACAATTTACAAATGAAGCTACCATTTCAGGGTTTCACCCCCTAATAATAGAAACTAGTCAACCCCGGGGTATTTTTTATTAGGGTCCGTCTTTTAAGGTCGAAAAAAAAACGTGTTTTATACTAAGGCGTTTAATTTAATATTAGGGTAAAGCTTCGAAATCCAATTTTTGGCAATATTGAAATTAGATTTTAAAAGAAAACATAATTGATTTTGAAATAGAAGAAAATATTTTTTTTTGGTTAGGGTTTTACATTTTACTATTAGGGGGAAGCATCGAAATCCAATTGTTTGGCAATATTTTAATTAGTTGTTAAAAGAAAATCTAATCGATTTTGAAATAGAACAAAATGGTTTTTATATTAGGGTTTTAAATTTGCTATTAGGGAGAAGCTTCGAAATCCATTTTGTTGCAATATTTAAATCTAATCGATTTTGAAATAGAAAAGAACAGTTTTTTGTTATTAGAGTTTTAAATTTACTATTAGGAGGAAGTTTCGAAATCATTTTTTGACAATATTTTAATTAGATTTCAGAAGGAAATCTAATCGATTTTGAAATAGAAAAGAATAGTTTTTTAATATTACGGTTTTTAATTTACTATTAGGGGGAAGCTTCGAATCCACACCACAAAACCCTAAACCGCAAATCCTAAATCCTAAAACCTACATCTGACATGAAACCCCAAGTAAGATCTTATCGAAACTGTGGTCAAGATAAACCCTAAACAAACCCCAAACAAACCCTAAAAAAACCTTAAAGAGTTGGTGACATGATAAACCTCTGGGTGGCAGCCACGGCCTTGGTCGTATCACTATAATGCTAGTATTAATGATCATTTAACCACGAATGAAAACCCCGTTGTTGATATAACTGTGGGATAATTGTTAATCCCATTATATCATCCCAAATTACTTTGTAATCACTATGATAACTGGTAGTAATTTGGATGATAATGATGATACCAACCATTATTTTATCATAGTCGTTATATTGTTATATATATATATAATGGGAGGATGATTATCCCACTATAATGGCATGAATTAGTGAAAATCATATCATGCCACTATCCATGATAAATCACCCGGGGTGAAGCATTGTCCATGCGTTGATCATTTATCCATCAATCAAAAACATTATACCAAGTATCCCTCTCATTCAAAAAGGTTCAATTCATCACTATTTTAGCAGGAATCTACATATATATATATATATATGCATCACTATAACTAGAGTTAATTGTATTGGAAATTAGTAATATATTAGCAAAAAGGGATCAATATCAATATAGTACTACCAGTGATTTATATCTATATATATATGTAATGGGACTATGGGTTTATATCATCATTCGTAATACAAGCACAATTGGTTCGACTAAGTATCAGTCATATCTATTGCAATATTAGTACTATCTAATTTTCCACACTAGTTAAATCTCGTTCCATTGTAGGCTTTTCTAAGGGAAGATGGACAGTGTTAGTCACCCTGATAGGCATGGAAAAATGATGCTCCGAGCGAGTCCAGAGATCGGACTACCCGCTCAAAAACAACGAAATACATATAGAAGAGCTGCATTGTAACATAGATTGACGTGTAATACATATATCATATATACATGTACATATCTGTATACATAGACATGGATAGGGGGATGCCGCCCCCCATTCTATAGAGGAAATTCCTAAGGGGTATGTATATGTACATTCGTCAAAACAAAAACCGATAATGTGGTAGACCCCAATCATTTACCTCCATATGAGAATGGTTTATTTTTCGCTTTACCACACCCCCGGACCAAAGTCTGTGAATTTCTCTTTCGACATTCGCCGCAGCTATGTTGGTTGGGATTCCGCTAGGGATTCAGGATCCCATCTTTATCCCCCAAGTGCAACTCGAAATGCTGCATTGCATCTTCCCTATCTTCCAGTTCAAGAGCAACATCAAACATTGGCCATGAGTACCCCGTCCAGAATTTTTGACACTCAAATTTGAGCCTACTCTTGACTTGTATCGCTGGACTTTCCCAAACTCGTCCAGCTCCACTTCCATCTGAAATGGTTCACCAAAAAATGTGAAAAACAGAATAGTGAGGTATCTGGTGAACCATTTCATTTTTGAGGTATTCATTTTGGAGGTAAGGGAACCGTTGCAAAATGTAACTAGCGTTCTTTCCCCCACCTTTCTGAGGTATTTGGCAGTGACCCAATGACCCAACGACTCTCCACAACACCCAGCTGGCGTCCTGCTCCCATGGTGCATCTAGTGGCTCATGGCAAGCTGAGATGCCCGCTGTGTCGAAAGTCAGTGGAACTGGGTGATGGTACAATCTGTGTGCATGGCTGGTTTCCGAAAAAAAGTAAACCAGATATACCAATCTTGCCAGAAACATCCACTGCAAGGTTGTTTGTTGTCGTTCGATTTCTGACAGAACTACTAACTTTGCTTGAAACTTGCAGGCGTATCGTATCAATATGGGGTCAAGTCAGCTGACTATTTACTTGGAATTAGCTCTAAAAGTTCTTTGTCAAGGTTGTAATGTCAAGAGTCAGCTTTTTGCATCCCTGGGATAGCTAGCTTTCTGGTCCCCAGACAGGTGAAGAGCATCACAACGGAAGTCACAACGACGGACGAGCGCAGCTTTGCGCCCCCACCCCCGAAGACTAACATGGAACCCTCGTCTACGGTCATTCCCGGCGGAAAATCTTGCAGGCCAATTTTGGAGTCTCTGTATTGGTTTTCAGGGTGGTATCAGTGGTATCTCGCCTGATTTTGGAGAGAATGTGTAGGAAGCTATGGTTCTATTAATGCAGGTTCATTTCATAATGTCCCTAGGCAACATTCCGGAACAAAATCTGCCGTGCGATCATTTGAAGAGGAACACTAAAGTGGGGAGATCCTCGACTTTGATCGTACCAAACTAAAGTTTGCAAACATTCAACTCCAAACTCTCAAAACATAAACTGCAAGCGAGAATCGATGAAATTGTACGTAAAAACGCAGTCGAAACAAAACCAAACTACTCAGGAGGAGACACATTTTTTGTAAATACATCTTTGCTTAGGGGAGCATGAATTTCTCTAGCAATTCGATGATGGTCTGTCCCAAAATCAACTCAGTTCCACCCCCTTCCGCAGCACCGTTCCACCTTAGGAGTCTCCAAGCTGCTCAGTGGAGGGGGCCTTACACGGTAACAATCTTTACTGTGGATCCTTGGTGGGTTTTGGGGCTCATTCTGGCATGACTAACATATCTTCCCTCATCAATTCACATTTAAAGATATAGTTTACAAAAGAAATGGTTTGAAACTCGGAACGGACGAAATCTACACCAATGATCTGTTTTGTTGAGCTAACCCCCCCAGACATCAATGCTCCAAAATCGGGACGTGCAGCCGATCGGATAACCCTAGCTACCAGCTGTGGCGTTGAAGCCAAGGGTTTTTCCTGGATTTACTGTATATAAACTGGAAAATACTGGAAGCTTCATCCGCACCAGTGACAAGCCCAGTGAGAACTTCAAGGGCCACCACGCGAACCAAAGGGTATCACCAATCAAATGTGTATTTGTATTGCTTCAATCCTCTTTTCATCAGCTACTCATGATCAAATCCTTCCGGTTTGATGATTTTTTGCCGCATGTTGGATGCACATCGGAATTCATGACGGGAAAATCCCAATTTTGAGGTCAATCCCGAGCTCTCCGAGCTCCCGACTTGCGCCGCACGAAGGCTTCAGGTCCCGGAGCGTGCTGAGCAACGGGTAAACAGGGTGGGTTTTCTGAGGGAACGACTGGGTTTGACCTGGAAAAAATGGGCAGATGCCGGGGATGTAAGGAAAACACACGCAGCCGGTCAAAAGACACAAAATGAAACCAAACAAACCACGGGATCGGCATCCCGGGCGCCTTTCGAAGGAAGTTGTCCAACACCCCGGCATCTCGTCCGCTCTGATCCTGAGGCAACGGCCGCCGAGAGGGGATCCAATTGGCGACCCTCAATGGGGGGAAGGGAAAGGGAACGGGGGTCACATTCGTCCCTACTTCACAATCCTTTCCATTGAACAAGTCATTCAACCTTTAGGGTTTGTGGGGACAAGGGACATTTAGGGGCACTTGGTGACATTGGTTTGCGGGGGACCTGGGGACATTGGTTAGGTCACTTGCCTCACTATTGAATAAGTCATTCGGCCTTTTAGGGTTTGACTGGGCACTTGGGGACATTGGTTAGTGGGGGACTTAGGGACATTGGTAGGTCACTTGCCTCACCATTGAATAAGCCATTCAACCTTTTCAGATTTGATCTGGGGACAAGGGACATATGGGGGGACCTGGGGGCATTGGTTAGGCGGGGACTTGGGGGACATTGGTTAGGGGCACCTGCAACTTTTGGGTTCATGGTTCCAATATCCCTCCGCAGGTTTGAGCTTAAGTTGTTTATCAAACTCAAGACGATTCTTACGTTGTTGGTCAGTTGGAGAACTAACTCTACTTTTTCCCACAACCAATTAGTCGTCCTCCGGTGGCTATAAAGTGGGGCCTCGCGGGCTTTCTGCACCTTATGAGCCATAATGGAACACCGCTCGAGCTCGTCAATCAGGTGGTTGAAGAGAGTTTGCTCTCGCGGTAAATCTTGAACCGGAATTGTGGACATCACGTAGATGTACTTGTCTCGGAATGCTTCTAGATCAGCGCGCGTATTTCCGGGAATGCGCAAGGACAGTATAGGCTACGCTCGCCTAACATGCCTATTCTGTCGCGTTCCAACTGAAAAAATTGAAAGATCTTTTTAAGCATGACCGTACCGCACGGCATTGAGCCGGTAGCTAGGCGTTCCGAGTCGACTATTTGTTGAAAAATCAACCCAAACCTACCTCTGCAACATGTTTTAATGAGCTTGGAGGCAATTTCACGATCCGTGAGCGGGAAGCGGGGATCGGCTTTGAGCGACTCTTCATTGGCGGACAAGCACTCTTGAGCCCATTGATAGACTTCACTCCCAGGAGTCTTCTGCAGCTTGCCAATGGCCATTAGGACTTGGTTTGCATAGCCCCTGGCTTGACCGGCATTTTCAGGAGGATTAGGGAACACTAAATCGTTAAGGGACTTAACTCTTATGGTGTCATCGTCCTCCTCTGCATAATCCCCGCCCAAGGAATTGTTGAGCACGTGCATCCCGCAATGGGCCGCCTGTTGTCGCTGGAAGAAAAAGCACGGCGCAGCGGGCTCCAAGTCGGGCGACAGCGGCTCTGCTGGGGTGGCAGTGGCGGGGGGCTTGGCGGCGCCGGTGGATCCTCGCCTCTTTTGGGGGTCTTGCTTGCCGGTGCTGGAACTTCACTTGGTTCTTCTTCCGGTTGTGGGGCCTTTGTCGCCCTTGGCTTTGGGCTTGGCCTTGGGCTGTGGCGCTTGCTTGCTTTTGGCTTTGGCCCTGTCTTTGGCTTTCGATTTTGGCTGCTTGGCCGGGCATTTGTGCTTCTTGTAGGCGGCATTGTCTTTGGCGACCCAGCCGCAACGGGCGGCAAGTCAATGTGCCACCTTCCTCGTCCTTCTTTGGCGCCTCTTTGGCCCGTTGCTCCTCAAGGTAATGCTTCCAATTGGGCCGCTCCATGTGTGCTAACTGCATCTGGTATTGGGCGGCGCTTTCCGCTGGTCGGATGGCTGCTTGCCAGAGGTCTTGCAGCGCTGGCTTGTTGGGGCCGCTGTTTGGCCAGCTTCTCCTTCAGCGTCACTAAAGCCCATTGTGCATTGGCATAGAAGTGGAAGCTACTGCTGTCAAAGCGCTCGAGGGTGCAGAGCTTCTGGGTGGGTTGTCTGCTATGGATTCTTTGAACTTGGGTGAAACTTAACTATTGAAAGAGCAGGAACCTAGTAGAATGGGATACATTTAGATTATAATTAATAATCGCATATAATGGCCAAAAAAGGTGTGACAAAAGCACGGCGCAGAGACTTTGCACCGCAACCGTCAGAGCTATGTGGCAACAAAAACGATCTAAGCGCACAACTTCAAATTCAGTTGATCGGTTTTGAACCAAATCAGTCCCATGTTTCCTGCTTAAAGTCTCTACATTAAAAAACAAAAGTGTGTTTCCGATATTTGTGGGGTTCATCTTACTACGAAATGATCGTGGGTCAAGAGCCAAAAATGGTCTGAGGTTCCAAGCCATAAGTGAATGTGATCCAGCATGACTGGCAAAAGAGGGTTTTAGGGTTTCCTGCATGACCCAAAGCATCCCAACATAAATCACTACAAAACGCAGTTCCGATTTTCAAGTGCTAAGTTAGAAAAATGAAAAGCCGCTACAAGATGCAGCACATGCTCACTGACTACAAGATCCTAGGCACGATTTCATTTTTTTGAATGAATTCTCTCCTCAAAATGGGATGGTATCCAGAACGTGTTCACCCTTTAGTAGTGGAAATGGTAAGGGGGATACACTTAGAATGACGTCTCTATTGACGGCAATGCTAAGTGTTAGCCCCCCAAAACTGTAGATTTCACCGTCCTTCGATTACATTTCACCAAAAAACGACTGTCGATAGCCAAAAATGATGACCCTTCCAGATTATTCCCACTTTTTCGTTCATCAACATATCAAACCATCGACAGTCATGCTAAGTGCATGAAACCTGCAAAAACAGGTGCAAATTGATTTGCAGCACTTTTAGCCCCAGAAAATGCTTTTTCCAATGATATTATACAAGATATATCGCATTGAGATGGAAATTGATTGCCTTGTAGCCCGAAAAACGGCGATCTTTCGAGGGCTGTGTCATGTTTCAGTTCGAGCAGCATACCCGCATACCCGAAATATTTAGTAACCAAGTCTGGTCACGATATTGTTTCCACGGTTTTGGGGTTGATGTCTTGTCTTCACATGGACGCCAGCCGCAAACAACATCCATAAAAGTTGGTTGGCAAGGCCAAGCGCCATTATTTTTTTGCATGCGAAAATACATGTGACTTACGTTCTTGGTGATCCAAATCACATGAAAGTTCAAGAAACTGAAACCACCGGTCAAACGGTCAAACAATAAAATAAACATAAATCCCTGCGCAGCTGGAAAAACCCTAAAGCTAAAGCTCGAAAATGAGGCGAAATCAGAAGAAGTCTATACCTCTCACCAGCGGAAACTTCCGCCCCAGCAAGACCGACCTGCCTTTTTACACTTGTACATTACATCTTAGGTACCACACTGGCTACCAAACACATCTGCCACCTCTTGCAAAAATTCAGTGCAATGAAAGCATCGTCTGCTCACATGCAGACACTGCATCCACACATGCACAACAGCATGCCCGACAGCTTTTCCACTCGACCGAAGCCCAGGCTCTCCACGTGTCTAAGACACAGCAAACTCAGCCAAATCTAATGGCTACTAAGCACCATTTTGCACCGTCAAACCATGACCAGAAACACCCATCCTCCGGTCAAAGTTGCCGTGATAAGACACAGGCGCCGCTCTGACACAGAACTGTTTGGATGTGGCATCATAGGTTGCCCGAACCCTCCATCCACGTTTGAACGACATACATGATGCGCAGCTCTTACAAAAAACTTGCAGGCAAAGTGCAAGTCATCTTCCTGCTTGGACGACTTCCGGTTTGACAGAGCAATCTCCACATTTTGGCCTGGAACCGTGGTCGCTATGTATTTCTTCAGTTTGGAAATGAATTGAGGACGTCCAAGAACTTCTGGGGTCATTTCCAACACGTAGGTCTCAAATTCCTCATTGCACTGCCCACCCTGGGCGCCAGAAGGGGCGATTCAAACAAGCAGGTCGCTTCACAGGGGCAGCTTCATTGTCCAAAGTTCTTGTCTTATATCCCAACACAGACATGGTTTCAAAATGTCTTGGTTGTTGGCTACATGTTTGGCAAATATATGTTAAAACACATGTGAAACATCTCAGAGCTGCAGGAGAGCGAACTGTTGTCTCGGAGCAAACAGAGGCAGTCGGGGTGAAATGTGGACAGCGGCACTCCGATGCATGCACAGGAACACATGTTGCCACCCAACAGCAATAATGGAAGAGAGAAGCTTCAAACCATATCATGCCGCAGAGACTGCCTCCAAAACTAGGTGTTGGATCTTATCAAAATTTTGTGCAAGACTTCCTTCAAACATGGAGGCATCTTGCACGATGCTTGAAAGAGAAGGTACAACGCAGCATCCAGCACGTCTGGGAGGTTCACTGAAACATATGTTACTACGTAACATCCACAGCGTCCTCGAAGTTGCTTCACACGGCTGATACAAAGTAGTATCCAGAGCATCTTGGAAGTTGATTGAAACGGATGTTACAACGTAGCATCCAGAGCAACTTGGAAGTTCACAGAAATGGATGCTACAACTTACAACGTAGCATCCAGAGCGTCTTGGAAGTTGATTGAAATGGATGTTACAACGTAGCATCCAGAGCGTCTTGGAAGTTGATTGAAATGGGTGTTACAACGTAGCATCCAGAGCGTCTTGGAGTTGCTTGACATGGATGTTACAACGTAGCATCCAGAGCCTCTTGGAGTTGCTTGATATGGATGTTACAACTTAGCATCCCAAGAGTCTTGACAGTTGATTGAAACCGATGTTACAATGTAGCATCCACAGCGTCCTCGAAGTTGCTTCACATGGCTGATACAATGTAGCATCCAGAGCGTCTTGGAAGTTGATTGAAATGAATGTTACAACGTAGCATCCAGAGCATCTTGGAAGTGACTTCAAGTGGGTGTTACAACGTAGAATCCCGGAGGTGTCACAAATGGGGTATCGGTATAGGGTCGTCCCCCATCCGTTATGAAGGCTTTGTGCAACCTCGGAGAGGCCAAGGCAAAGCAAGACTAAATTAGTATTACAATAAATTGGTCGCTTACTCATATGAAACTATATAATATTTTTTTGTTTGAATATACTGGTGGGCCCGAACCGCTGGAACCAATTTTCTTGGAAACCGAACCGGTCGAACCGAACCGTTTATTGAATAAGCGTTTATGAACCGAACCGTGCACTACGAACCAGAAATTGGAACCTAACCGAACCGAATCGAACCGTTACCATGCTGTTCAAATGGATGTTACAGTGTAGGATCCAGATCGTCTTGGAGTTGCTTGAAATGGATGTTACAACGTAGCATCCACTGCGTTTTGGGAGTTACTTGAAATCGATCTCACAACGTAACACTTGAAAAAGACGTCGTAACTGACTGTCACAGCTGGAAAACGATCCTTTCGAGACTCTGAAACTATTGCGCCTGCCACGCAAAACGAGGTGGGGTCACATTCGCCCCTGCCCTAGGGTCATGTTCGCCCCTACCTCCACCTTGAGTAGGGGCAAGTGCGACCCCACATGAGGTAGGGGCAAATTCGACCCCCGTGCCGAAGGGAAACCACCCACCCTTCACCCTGGAGGGCTGAGTTTGGAGGAGTTTTGGAAGATCTGTTGTTGAGAACAGACTGCCTTGGACGCGTTGCACCTGTCACAACGGCCAAGGACCAGTACAGGAGTATGTGTTCCAGCTTGAAACCAAAGGTTAACAAAAAAAATCTCGTCGCTGAGGCCCCATCAGATCTGTTGATAGTACCCTGACACATGTCTGGGGTCAACTTCTGTTAGGCTTAAGCCCTTCTACACCTAAACTTGTCGACAGAAAGGCCACAGCTGGCCGAACTATTCACCAACCTGACCAAATTGGGCCATCTCGCAGCGAGGTTGACCACATGTTGTCGTGATAGACAAGTTCCAGTTTCTGATCGGGTCCCAAAAGTGGCAACATTTCAAGCTATATAAACCATGGGTACCCTCTGGTAAACTAATAACTATGGAAAATCACAATTTTTAATGGGAAAATCCACTATAAATGGTCATTTTCAATAGCTACGTTAAATTACCAGAGGGTAGTTAATGTCTTTTTCTAGGGTAGCTATTTGGAAATTGGTGACCCAATCCTCGTTGAAACGGCCAAGGTCCAGGGTCCTGCAGCTTCCCAGCACTGGCAGTTGGGGAGGCCGCAATGAGGTCACCCACCTCATGGCACATGCATAATATCTACATCCATCCATCCATCCATCCATCCATCCAACCATCCAATCCAATCAAAATCTTAAATCTTATATCTTAAGTCTTAAATCTGAAATCTTAAATCTACATCTAATCTAATCTTCATATAATTATATATAGATAGATATAATAGATGTACTTTGAAGCCATGACCACATGAATCCTCACATCTTACCCCATTAAGCCCCCGGGCCAAGCTGGCATCTTTGTCCGCACGGCTGGGTGCTGCTGGTGTGTCACGCGGAGCCAGCGGCGCTGGCAGCGGCCTCGCCTCAAAGGGGTGCCCCCCATGCGAGATCACCATGAAATGGGTATATGATGGGATACAATTAGCAGGGAGTATGGATGCCCATAGCTCCTTCGCTCCCTCCCAACTACAGGTTCCTAACTCGGGGGCCCCAGCTTGTATAGGTTTTGATCCATCCCTTTCGGAATTGACCCAAGCACCATGCCACGTCACTGGTGCTGGCACTGGTGCCGGCACTGGTGCAGCTGGAGCTGGTGCTGGCACCGGCGGGACGCGCGGCACCGGTGCGACAACAGCTGGGGGAGTAGGTGATGGTCGATTCCTGAGGCGTTGGAAACGGCTTTAATGGCGCTGGCATGCGCTGGCCAAATCCCCACCTTAACAACTTCAAGTCTTGACGCGTCCCCCAAAGCTTCATCAAGATTTCATGTGCTCCAAAAGTCCATCCACATGCCAAAATTGTTGGCCGATTCTTGCCATTGCCTGAGGCAATAGCAACACATCCCAGGACATCTTTTCACATCCCAAGTTTCCCCAAGTTTGAGCAAATCCAATGACATTCCAACATCTTCAAACCTGCCAAGCGTCGCCAAGAAATTCTCCAGCAGCCGGTCGTCCCTGCTTTCACCGCTGCCCGGTGCCGCTGGCGCCGTCTTCGCCAAGGGCCGTAGCAGTTCGAAGGCCGCCGCCGCCCCCGGTGTGGCCGGCGGGGCGGAGGGCGGCGGACCCACGGTGGCAGCACCAAGGCCTAACAACGAGGCGGCGGCCGCCGCCATGGGAAAGCATGGCAGGGGGGAAGATCTATGGCAATCTATGGGTTGTTGATGTCTGTTTTTTGCAAGATTGATTTGGTTGAGTTCTCAGAAACTCCAGATGTGTTAGTGTTGATTCCGGAAGCTTGTGGGAAATGTGGTTTGCCGAGAACAAATGAGTGTTGATTCGATCGACAATCAACGGCTGACTCCAGATGGAGATGTTTATTCCAGGTGATTTGCTGGAATCGCAAAAAAAAGATGTGTTGAGAACTAGCTAACTTCAGCTAGAAACTGCAGCATTTTAATGTTTCCAATATTTTCCAATCACGCTCCATGGGCTATGACTATATGCCTGGAGCCAATGAGCGAAAGTAGGTCGCTGAAGAATTGCCGGCCTTTGTGAAACATTGGATCCTTGAAGATTGAAATTAACCAACCCTGTGGGTGCCTCGCTTCAAATTTCGACCCATGCCCTATGCCCCTATACCTTTGGTATCCTTTGGTTGCAAGACTGTTGGTTCCATCTGAAACCCTTCAGAAAGCCTGCTGAGGTTAATTTTAAACCAACGATGCTCAGACGCTGCTGTCGCCAGCGTGAAAGCAGAAGCCTTTGTACATGGGAAGTCGGCAGTCTGCCTGATCCCTGAATCGATGAGGAAACCTTGCGATAGAAGGGATGGTAAGTTCATTTCCAAAGCAGGTGATCTTCATACGAACTGTACATATAGCGGTATCCGCATCCACATGCAAACAAACGAACTGCAACTGCACATATAGTGGCACCAGTGCCCAGATACTATACAAATATGGAGATGTATATGTTTCATATTGTTAATCACATGTGTAACTATTATGTACATGTATATATATATATACATATGCATCATATATATATATACATACATATTATTATTATTACTATTATTATTATATACATGTATAAATATATTGTTGACTTTATTTATTCATTTATTTATTCATTCACTTATTCATATCTCGTACACTCTACCATCTCCTTGCTACACCTTGAACTTGGGCATCGCCGGGGGCCTAGGTACTGCAACAGAAAAAGTGGTGGTAGCCCCTGGTGATTTAACGCTTTGCGAAGTGGAAAATCACCATGTCTAATCAATGTTGAATGGATCATCTATAGATCATTGTAAAGAAAATCATGTTTAATTTTCATGGGTAAATCATGTTTATCATCTACAAATCATCTATCAATACTCTATTTAACTATGGGCCATGGCTTCGCTATGTAGCAAATCACCAGAGGGTATACTGGGAATATGATGAGCATATGATCCGGATACAATGGGGATATAATGATATAATATGACCAGCATATGTTAGCATTGTTAGGTGTTCACCAACAAAATGTGAATTTGGATTATATATATATATATATGTGTCAAGCTACATGGAATTCATGGGGTTTGGTCATTCATCCCATGAATCATGGGAATCCAAACATAATGGGTATATGAAGGACCATGGCATCAGGCTTCCCATTTTTTAATCAAAGTCACCTTTGTCCCTGACTAACCAGCAACCAGTATTTGCCACTCCGGTGATGAGAAATATAGGGACTCAAGTTTTGAGAAAAAAATGGCTGAAACCCACAAAGATATGGGGCCTTGGGAAGGAACCGTTTTCTCTTCACTTGAAATCCGCCCTCGCTATCTTTTTGTTCGAGATTCCGGCAAGACAGGCTTGTGGCTGTGAGATGTTCAAAAAGTCTTTTGTTGGTGCCTTCCAGATTTAGATTTCCCCACGGTTCATTGGGGTTTTCTTGGCAGCAACCTGATTGATAATGGCAGCAATCCCTTACGACCCCAACCGGATTCCCACGATGTCCAAAAAGACCTCCTGGGGTCTGGGTCAAAAAATGAAGCCTCCACAAGACCCACAAGACTGCTGGTTGGTGGTTGAGCCCTACCTACCCCAACCTGAAAAATGATGGACAACTCGTCAGTTGGGATGATGACATTCCCAATATGATGGGAAAGTCATAAAATTCCATGTTTCCAAACCACCAACGAGATATATATATATATTACTGTATAATATGGTAAATCATATGGTATATCTATATCATATCCCATAAAACCCAGTTATGGTGATTCCCAGAACCAAAGCCATCCCAACCTCCCCTGCCTGCCAAGTTGCGGTGTAGTAAGACATTCGCTCCGCAACTTCACTCGCAAGGGTCGTTCACCTTGCTTCACCTAGGAAGGTTTTCCACCGTGGCATTTGGGCCTCTGAAAGATTGGCCACCCTCAAACTGACCGAAATATGTCAGTTAGCAGGCCTGAAATATTAGAATCTCGCCAACGAACTCTTTTTAGGGTGAAGGCTAAAAAATTGGTTCGTTAAATACTAAAGACGACTTAAATATGCTACTTTCGGGGTGCGCAGGGTTGACCATAACCAAAACTGAGAGCTTTGGAATTGGGCAACTTTGAAACAAGGCTGCATCACTGCGAGATTGTTACAGGAATCCCGCTCTCCATCCCAAACTACGAGATAACATACAAAATAGAACGGTTCCGAAGGTTTGGGATTTTGGATCACTGTTCTGAATCTTTTTGATACCTTTCCTCTGACCAGGTCTGACATTTTGGACATTGCAACCACTGGGAAAAGTCAAACACTGAAGTCACAATCATCTACAAATTTCCGAGGGATTCTGGAAGCTCTTCATCCCCTTTTTGGCCTTGTTGAACAAGCATTTCTGTTGCTTTCAAACCGTTACAAGACTGCCAAAAAATCCCCACGGTTTCTGTCCGTCTCCGCAGGTGCCATCCATGGTCAAGTTACATGGCTGGCTGTGGTTTTTCTGGTCATCCCACCATTCGTCGTTTCCCCTATTTTTGTTGGTATATGAGCCATGGTCAATACTCACTATATGGTTGATGGTCATCCCATCCATAAGAAGGATCCTTATAATGGTTACCCTCTGGTAAATAAACATAGACCCTGGCAGATAGGGGTTGGAAGACTAGTTTCCATTAAACATTGGTGATTTTCAGGGTCTATGTTTATTTACCAGAGGGTATTATAAATCCCTATGAACCATTGGATGACTAGCCCCTATTGATGGTTATTAACCATGAGTATTGACCATAGCTCATATGAAACCCTATGGATTGATGACCATCCTGGAAATTTTGGCTATGATGGCTATGCAATCCAACAACTTCTTGTGACACCGCGGCACATATCATTTATCCTTCCCTATATCATGTTATATCAGATTATATATATATATATCAATCTTGTTTAGAATATGTTCATATACATTCCCAGTAATATATACCCCCATTATATCCCGTAGACCCCGTGGTAATCTAACATAGCTATGGCTATGGCAAATGGTCCATTTGTAGTGGTTTCCATAGTCTTCTTAAATCACCAGAGGATATATCCCATATCATATTCCCACCATATTCTCATTATGTCACAACTCTTGTATTAAATGAATATCAGTGTGTATATATATATATACATACCGATTATAATTGCTGCTTTAAAAATATTCCCAATAAAAATATTCCCATACATATATATATATATACGTATAATATCTATATATTCTCATCATATTGCCATCATATTGCCATATCCCAGTCATGTCGTTGCTTCTCTCGCCGCGCCACGAAGGCGGCATCCATCCCCTGACAGTGTCCAACGAGGCGACAGCAGCAGGCAAAAACCTACACGGAGCGTCAAGGTGGAGCCCCGGAAAAAAAACAAAACGAGTTTTGGCCGGTAAAATGTGGATTTTCGCGGCAAAAACACGGGAATGTAACCAGCAGAAAGGTGGATTTTACGTGCAAAAACACGGGAATGTAACCAGCAAACATGTGGAATTGACCGGCAAAAAAAGTGGGAAGTGAACCAGCATGTGGATTTTGCCGGCAATATTCTGGATGTTGCCAACCAAAAAATGCGGCATCTACCGGCAAAAATGCGAATTGAAGCAGCAGAAATCTTGAATGTTCACCAGCGATCTTTGCTTGGATTTCACCGATTTCACCGGCAAAATTGTCGAATGAAAAAGCAACACTTTGGAACTAAGCAAAAAAAACATCAACAATTAGCAAATTGGGATTTGACTATTTGACCAGCAAAAGTTGCTGGATTGAAGCAAGAAATCAGCAGCCATTTCACCGAAGAATAATACTTATGGTTTTTTGGCAACATTTTTGGAACTCTCTGGGCGATCACCAATTTGTCACTGGCCAACTGTTGCTCTTCCCGCTTCTGTTGCTCATCATTTTTGTTGCATGGCCAACTCAGCATACTCTCTGCTGTTCACTGGGACCTTCATTTGAGCATCAAAATTCGTAACACGGTCCCTTTATACTGCCTGGTCAATGAGAGATTCCCCATTAATGGATTCTGAGATTCTCCAATTCATATCCGGAACTCATCATCAACCGAGGTTGTGAACACTGCTTGATTGGGCATTATCCATTATAATCCATCGCAATCAAGTGTAATCCATTATATATACATTATGTATATACATATATATATATATAGATAGATAGATAGATAGATAGATATATATATATGGATATATAGATATATATATATATATTATTTATAATATATATATATATTATTATTCTGTTGAATGGGACTTTCACCAGGAAATCCGCCATTCCGGTGGCCTCAAACTTCAGCATGGCCTTGGCCCCGGAGTTTGCCACCGCCCACACCTGCTGCGCGCTGCGCCAGTCAAATCCGAGGACCCACGATGGTTGATGGGGTCTTGAAACATTCAAAAAACTATGGTAAAACTATGGTAAACTATGGGAATTATGATGATTTACCTTTGTAAAAATTGTGAATTTCCATAGTTATGACCAGTTGGATAAAAAATCTGGCTGAATTGTTAGCTAATTCACCAACCTGAAAACAACTGAACAAGGCCATCTGTCTGTGGATGATTCCCCATAGAATATTGTGTATAATATATACATATATATATATATTGTATATATATATATATATAGCATCATCCCAATGACATCACAGTGAGGTGATTGTAATTCATCCCGCTGTATGGATATCAAGACTTACCTTACAAGAATGTACTGCATCCATAAGTTGTTTTTCCAGTACCAGGACAATCCAGGAGATGACATCTGGAATCTGAATTCCAAAATCACCAATCTGAAAATCATTTTTGGTCATTACCCTCTGGTAAACTAACATAACTATGGATAATCACCATTTTTAATGGGAAAATCCACTCTAAATGGCCATTTTCAATAGCTATGTTAAATTACCAGAGGGTACTTGTCACCTAAAACGAATGACCCAGCGCCGAGACCTGCTTCAGCGCTTCCCGGGGCAGCTCCGACTTCCAGAGGAACAGCGAAATGGGCTTGGCCGCTTTCTCCGAGGCACCTCGTTCCGGGTTCCGGGATCCGATGGGATCGATTTTTTGAGAAAAAAAAAGATGGGATTTTGATGAGAAACCCATGATTTTCCCGGGATTTTCATATAGTTTTTGTTAGAACTAGATTGCCAGGAAAGTTGGTGGCACAGCCTCAAAAAAAAACACATTTGGAATGCAGATCTGTGGAGATCTCTGGATCAAATGGGAATCCTCAGGGCCTAAGATCTTCAAGATCTTCCGCAAGGGGATGCGCGGCTCATATCATTGGTCGAGGCGCTCCCTCCATCAATCAAGTTGAACCACTTTTGGTACGCTTCCTGCCAGCTCGATTGGAATGTTTTGGGAACGTTTGGATCAGATCGCGGTGGATGGCTTTTTTTTGGACAAATGGTGCTGAGCATGATTTTGCCATGAAGAACTGTCTCCAGTAAACCAAGCCAATATGGCAAAGGGGCTCACCCAATACCATCCATCTAAATTATCATAAAATATAGCGTCAACAGATCTTCCAAGCCATTTCGAGTCCCAGATCAGCATCCCTTGGTCGCAACTCACCACCTCTCCTGTTCCTCGGCAGTCCATTGAGACTCCTTCGCTGGCAACACGCGCAGGTCCTTGTGTTGAGATGGAAGTTCCTGCGCCGCTGGAAAATCCACCCCAAAGGGGTTCGATGATTTTCCCAGCGAACTGAACCTCCATGGCTAGTCTGGGGATTTCCCAGCTAGCCATGTTTGATTACAGGAGAGGTTGTGGCAACAAAAATGTCCGATCGATCTGGCATTCGCCGGTCAGTTTACCCAAGATTTGTTGGTACCCTCTGGTAAACTAACCAAGGGAGAGAACCCTTTTGAGCAGGCAAATTGGCAAAAAAAAACTGGTAAACTAACATACATAACTATGGAAAATCACCATTTTTTATTGGTAAATCCACTATAAATCACCATGTTCAATAGCTATCTTAAATTACCAGAGAGTAATTTCACACATATTTCCCAATGATTGTTGCTTCAATCCAAAGATATCCTCAGTCTTGTCGGCACAATGTGGGACCCCCAAGATAGCTAAGTTGGTTCAAACTACAAGAACTAGGCTTTGTGGTGGATATAACTACAGTTGGACGGAGTTATAAAACAACAAACACAACTAGGGGGGACCACCTTGTAGACAAAACCAAGATTCACCCTTTTCCTATATGTTCCACCCCACAGATGTGGGTATTTACCAATAGACTGCTCACAAAGAAAAGGGGTCCTCTACCATCCCAGAATGGTCGCCTCAAGTCCCTCGAAACGCAAGCCTCTTTTGCATGGGTATCTATTGGGGGACACGTCATAGAAACTAAGCACGGCCGGCAAAACTGACAGATATCATGTCTGACAAATGGCAAGCATTAAAGCTTTGAAGACTCGACGGCAAGGTCACCCGCTCCAGGCTTTGGTTGAGATCAGAGCAAAAAATCAAGCTTTGAAGACTCGATGGCAAGGTCACCCGCTCCAGGCTTTGGTTGAAATCATGACCGAAACTCAAGTTTTGAAGACTCGATGGCAAGGTCACCCGCTCCAGGCTTTGGTTGAAATCATGGCCGAGACTCAAGCTTTGAAGGCTCGATGGCAAGGTCACCCGGTCCAGGCTTTGGTTAAATTTCCAGCCAAAACTCAAGCTTTGAAGGCTGGATGGCAAGGTCACCCGCTCCAGGCTTTGGTTGAAATCATGGCCAAAACTCAAGCTTTGAAGGCTCGATGGCAAAGTCACCCGGTCCAGGCTTTGGTTGAATCTCCAGCCAAAATGCAAGCTTTGAAGACTTGATAGCAAGGTCACCCGCTCCAGGTTTTGATTGAGACCATAGTTCAAGCGCAAGCTTTGGCGACGTGATGGCAAGGTCACCCGCTCCAGGCTTTGGTTGAAATCATGGCCAAAACTCAAGCTGTGAAGACTCGATGGCAAGGTCACCCGGTCCAGGCTTTGGTTGAAATCATGGCCAAAGCTCAAGCTGTGAAGACTCGATGGCAAGGTCACCCGCTCCACGCTTTGGTTGAAATTCTCACCAAAAGTCAAGCTTTGAAGACGCGATGGCAAGGTCACTCCTTCCAGGCTTTGGTTGAATTTCCAGCCAAAACTCAAGCTTTGAAGGCTCGATGGCAAGGTCACTACCTCCAGGCTTTGGTTGAAATTATGGCCAAAACTTAGGTTTTGAAGACTCGATGGCAAGGTCACTCCTTCCAGGCTTTGGTTGAAATCATGACCGAAACTCAAGGTTTGAAGACTCGATGGCAAGGTCACCCGCTCCAGGCTTTGGTTGAAATCACGACCGAAACTCAAGTTTTGAAGACTCGATGGCAAGGTCACCCGCTCCAGGCTTTGGTTGAAATCATGGCCGAGACTCAAGCTTTGAAGGCTCGATGGCAAGGTCACCCGGTCCAGGCTTTGGTTGAATCTCCAGCCAAAATGCAAGCTTTGAAGACTTGATAGCAAGGTCACCCGCTCCAGGTTTTGATTGAGACCATAGTTCAAGCGCAAGCTTTGGAGACGCGATGGCAAGGTCACTACCTCCAGGCTTTGGTTGAAATTATGGCCAAAACTTAAGCTTTGAAGACTCGATGGCAAGGTCACCTGCTCCAGGCTTTGGTTGAAATCATGGCCAAAACTCAAGCTGTGAAGACTCGATGGCAAGGTCACCCGGTCCAGGCTTTGGTTGAAATCATGGCCAAAACTCAAGCTGTGAAGACTCGATGGCAAGGTCACCCGCTCCACGCTTTGGTTGAAATTCTCACCAAAAGTCAAGCTTTGAAGACGCGATGGCAAGGTCACTCCTTCCAGGCTTTGGTTGAATTTCCAGCCAAAACTCAAGCTTTGAAGGCTCGATGGCAAGGTCACTACCTCCAGGCTTTGGTTGAAATTATGGCCAAAACTCAAGCTTTGAAGACTCGATGGCAAGGTCACCTGCTCCAGGCTTTGGTTGAAATCATAACCAAAACTCAAGTTTTGAAGACTCGATGGCAAGGTCACCCGCTCCAGGCTTTGGTTGAATTTCTTGCCAAAAGTCAATCTTGCAAGGCTGCGGGGGAGATAGTGTAAAAACTCTCCACCTGTTGCTCCCTCAAGTTGGGTAACACCTTCCAGCGCAACATCTCTCTCACTAGTTGGGAGCCCACAGACATAGCACCATGCAGTGTACACAGATGTTGGTATGTAGGTGCAGGACAGCATTGCAGATTCTCCAACAATTCCTTGCTCTCCTAAGGTTTGATTCAGCGTCAGCTTTGCATTCACATGATGTACGGCGAGCTTTGCGCCTGGCTTGCATGGAAGCTTCTCCGACACCAATCTGCGCAGGTCATATCCAAGTATAGAGCGAGGGATGCTCAGTGTCACTCCTTCTCCGGTCAAGCACAGCACCTGAAGATTGACCTCATCAGTTTCATCTGCTGTACCTTTGTCAGTAGATGATGGATCCACATAGCCATGTTGTGCACCAGACATCGTCAGAAATTACATATGTACTCACTACAGCACTAAGCCGAAAGATCTTCGATAGATCTTCGCAAAAACCAACAGATACAACTGTGAAATCAACATGGACCTGTCTTTTTGGCCATTTCCAAACGCACCATCTCCAAGTGGGCTCCATGTGGGCTGCAATCCATTTCAGCCCCTATCTTGCTCATGGCACGTTGTGAATTTTGATAGTTACGTACCTGTGTCACTTTGACTCACACGTTGCCATGATGCAAAGAATCATGGACATTCTATGGAGATATCTCCAAAATCAGGCAATTGTGATCAAAAGGTTGAGTAGTTTGTTTGGCTATCCGCTATCCCCATTTCAAGAAAAAGCCATGTCCACTAGGTCCACTGTTCATCGCTTCCATCCATATTTTTTTTTCCGGCTCATCCAGGTCTGGCAAGCATGGAACAGCCAACAAACAGGCGAGACACCTGCCCATCTGTTTGGTGTTTCAATGATTCAATATCCAATATTGTTGGTGAAGAATACCTACAAGCTGGGATCGCTACTTTTTGGACTTTTGGGGGTTTGCAACTGCTTAGTTCATCCAGTTATCGATGGGACTTGAGGCCGGGGGTGGATGACGAAAGCTAGCGGGGTAGGAGAAAGAAGGAAGGGAAGAGGTGAGTTGCGGAGGGACTGTCATCATCGTGTCGCGGCATTGTTCGTCCCAACGAGGATGCAACAATGATATATTGATATATGATATATAACAATGATATATATGGGGAGGGGGCAGGGGGGGGCCCTTTCGCGGGAAAAATCACGTGATGTCCTTGGGGAGCCCCGGAATACGTGCTAAAGCAAGAAGACTCTAGCGAGCTGACGCTAGCTTTCGTGATAAACCACAAAAAAAGGGGACTTGCCATCAGGTTGATTAACCACTGAATCGATCCGTGGATAGTAGAGGCACCCCCTTGCATCAGAAAACGGCTGGAGCGATGGACCTGCCATTCTTTGCAATGTTTGGCATCCCTAATCCTTAGTCGTCCACTTCCAAAAATGTAGAATTCCCTATATCTTTCATATTCCAATGTCAATTCCGTATACCGATACCTGCTTTTTTGTGTTGGCTTTACTGAAAAACGGGAATTTTTTTTCGGTGAAGCTCATGTTTGGTGGCAAGACTTCCCTGTTTGGTTAGAAAAAAACCTTCATCCCTTCTCAGCTAAAACTCTCTGTATCTTGGTTGCTGACACCCCTTTTTTGGTTGCTAAAACCTCATGTTTCTTGGTGAAAACAAACCTGGCTTTTGAGCTGCTGAAATCCCCATATTCTTTCCGTTAGATACTTGGAGGATCATCCCACGGCCCCCGTTTGAGGGCCGTGAACGTAACTGGTTGGTGACGACTCACTTATTCATACCCTCTGGTTATGTCAAAATAGCTATTGAAAATGGCCATTTATAGTTGATTTTCCCATTAAAAATGGTGATTTTCCATAGCTATGTTAAATTACCAGAGGGTAAATGGGGTGACTTGTCCACTGAATGGATGATTTTAACTCACACCAGGCACAAAAAAATCACTAGGTGGGACGATGCTCCAAGTATTGATTCAGTAGTTGGTTGAACATCCAGTCTCCTTCCGCGCATTTGCCCCGTCGGGCAGGGCAAATTCTGCGGTGACCTTGTCCTCCGTCACCTTTGGGTCATGAGAAGCAAGCTGGTGAGACAGGTTTATTCCATATATTTCCATATATCGTCATTGACTAGTCATTCTATCTTCAATGGAAAAAAAAAAAAAACGAGAATACAATGGGAATACCATATATTGGGAATATAGTGGCAACACAATGAATACAACAACTATAATGTAAGATTCACCCAATGCCACAATGATGGGAGAAAAATAGGCTATCAATAGGAGAATATTTTGATGGATTTTTGCGGATAACAGTGGATTTCTAACGGATACCAATGGATAATGATAGGACAACTATAAATTCATCATCCCACCATCCGGAACTTATGAAATTGGGGATGCCCCAAATGTGGGATGATGGTTGGTCAATCTATGACAGTCATGGTCAATGGGCGAGTCAATGGGTCAATGGGCATTGGAATTTACCTCTAGCAAACAACAGTTGGGCGCTGATGGTCAACTTTGGTGAGGAGTTGAATCCGCAAAACTCAGTGGATTGGTTGAAACATCCTGAAACCATGGAGCTTCCCCTGGATCCAATTCGGAGAGATTTCGGATTCTTCCAAACATTGGGGGATGAAGATGAGTCCACCTGGAAAATCGGGGATTTACCAGAAATTGGTGATTTGTAGGTGAGTTAACCAACCAAAAATGCGGGTTATTTCGACTGAAACAAGTGGTTTTCACATGAAATGACGGAAAACAAAATGGATTGAAGCAACAAAATTCGTGCATGTGCTGTCATCAGAAGAAAATGGTCCATTCTGCCAAGCCACATCAGAAAGACTGCAAGGTGGGCAAGGTGGGTTGGTGTGCCCACGCTTTCATGGACTATTGGCATTGGGTAGAAAACCATCAAAAAATGTGTGTGAGTGGGCATCTGCTGTAGGAACCAACTGGTGAATGGTCGGGTCATGAGTGAAATTTTCACCGTTTTTCATAAAGGAATTCTGATCGACTGAACCTGGCCTGCAGAATGCGAAGTCTTTGCGGCTGTGCTTAGATGGGTGAATCACTGGTTTATGTCCGAATTTTACTTTGCTGTGTTAGAGTATATGAGTCCCATGGTTTTCCATATGTTTCAAAGTTGCTGAAGTTCCCATTGAATACATGGGAAAACGGGTGAAATCCTCCCAGATTTCCGCGCCTGCAGCACCTTGCCTCTGCACCACCTGAGGCATCAGGAATAGGTAAATTGGACCATTTTTCGAAATAGATAGTAATAAAACAAGACCAAATCAGTAGTTGATAACTAGATATAACTAGATCAATAACTAGTAACTATATAATGGGATCACTAATGAATTACTATTCCCGAATATTATTATTCCCATCTATCTGTTGATCTAGGGATTCCGGGATTCCAGAAAAACATGGCTAATCTATAGGTTTAAAAAAATGGTTAATCTGTGGTCTATGGTTATTCTATTGTTAATCTATGGGAAATAGAAGTTTCATGATGGAGACTGTAATCCACGAACTAAATGGGCATCTATAGATTGGAACTTCATCGAACTAAAGCTGGAGGAGTTCTCCAACAAAGGATCTTGGGACATAAAATAGTAGACCCAATGATAAGCTAACCATGTAGGGATGATTCTTACCCCAGTTATATCCATCACATCGAGTTTCAGAGCAACAACTCCCCTGGCATTCTCACTGAAGGGCTGCATCATTTCATCATCATTCATCATCATCCATCATCATCCATAATCATCCATCATCATCCATCATCATGTCCCATCAGAGATTTGCAATGTATTGGCCTACAATAATGAAAATGAAATGCAGGCTTCTTCTGGGTGCCAATTTTATTCCACTAGTGTTGTAACATTGGATACGTTATTCATAGGGAAGTAAATCATGAAGCTAGTTTGCAAAGACTGATATGTGTGCTTAGACAAAGTGTGTGTGTGTGTATGTATGTATGGTAATGTAATGTAATGTAATGTAATGTAATGTAATGTAATGTAATGTATGTATGTATATATATATATATTGAGATACTATGGCCATGTTTCGTTGGTTTCCAGGCGATCGGACGAGCGCTGGCCATTGCTCCAGACCTCCACTTCATCGCCCACGCGGTAGACCTAAGGTCTTCGATGAAAAATGGGGAGATCATTGGGAAAGGGTATTAATCTATGGATAATTCCAGAAAAGTATGCGTAATCTATGGTTAGTCTATGTTTCATCTATTGTTAATCTATGGTTAATCTATGGGTAATCTATGGTTAAACTATGGTTAATTCCAGAAAAAAAAATTGTAATCTATGGTTAGTCTATGGTTAATCTGCGCTTAATGTATGGTTAATTAATCTATGGTTTATCTATGGTTATGGTTAATTCATCCAAGGAATTTTGATGAAAATGGTGGGATCTCAAAAAGATCATCGAGAAAAATTTCATAGGCTTAACTTCTTCACCATCAATAGGGATTTAATGGGATTTAATGGGATTTAATAGGGATTTAATGGGATTTAATGGGATTTAATAGGGATTTAATGGGATTGACTTATGATGATTTACCAATTTACCTACCACCTTCTAAATGGCTTAGCATGGAGCTGTAAAACAATAAGTGCAGGTGTCCAAATCAGTGCTTCCAACAGAACGGATGTTTTAACAACTAAAAAAAATAGCATCACCTAAATGTGTGATTCCTACAGGAAGGGCCCCCCACTTATAAGCTGCTTTACACCCCCATCCGAGCATAGATGTATCCACCATGAATCCATCTATTAGCCTAATTACAAACTCACCTATCAGACCTATCATCATTCATACATCAATCATCTATCACAAAATTCCACAAAATCCCAAAAAGTTTCAGGAGGTACAAGCTGCTCTCAAGTTTCACTTGGGATGTCTCTTGGATGCCATGGAGCCATAGGTCCTCCGAGCGCCAGAGGACGTTCCCAGGTGGATTCCCGGGTCCTGACGGCAGAGAGAGAATTAGGGGGTCCTGGGGGGTCCGAGCTTGAAAATGACCTGAAAAAATCTGGGAAAATTCTGGGAGTTCTCTGGGTAATTCCTGGGAAAATAGGATGAAAGTCGATGAAATTTTGGATATTGCTGGTCCTGGGGACCTGGGGACCTGGATGGAACTGTTGGTCATGGAGCCTCAAGATATCGAGGCCGGGATCGCGACTTATCGATCCATCAACCACAACAAACCTCCATCTCAAACATTCATACTCAGCTATATACAGCATACTTCTCATGAGAATCCCTCCAAACCCCCAAAAAAATGGCAACGGCTGCCTGGAATTGTAGTAGTACGTGTGTCCCTCGGGCGTTTTGACGGCCTCCCAAAGGAAAGGCATGATCCAAAGCAGTTTTACGAGGCTTTGGGGTGCTGGAAAAGACGGTGTTAGGGGGTCCCAAAGGACGATCACCTTTTCTATTTATACCTCAATAAACTCGCTGTTCAACGTAACTATTCCCCAGACGCAAAAAGTCTCTCAGTGGGATGCTGCGAAATGGCACCAAGGTGTTCGAGAGCAGTGTGATACATCTTTATGCTGGGAAAGAAAGAAACTAACTCACGCCATGCATGTGATCAAATAGTCAAACAAGAATCCAGATGTTTCTCATCAAACAAGTATGTTGCCATCAAAGGATAGTTCAAGAATATTTTCTCGAAGCAGTCATTGATTTCATGTTCATATCAAATAATCCCTTCCCGATAATACCAAGTACACCCTCGGAAACCATAGTTAAGATGTGGATCTATTCATGCATTGGGTTCCTTTGCTGGAAAAAACATATCGTATTGATTAAAGCAGATCAAACCCCATTTCTTATGGTCAACCCGCTATATATATATACATATATATATATATACATATATATACATATATACATATATATATATATACATATATACATAGATACATATATACATATATACATATATACATATATATACATATATACATATATATACATACATACATATAGACATATATACATATATATATACATATGTACATAAATACATATATACATATATATACATATTTACATATATACATATATACATATATACATATATACATATGTACATATGTACATATGTACATATATACATATATACATATATATACATATATACATATATACATATATATACATATATACATATATACATATATACATATATACATATATACATATATACATATATACATATATACTGTGAATTTCCACTTGTTGCCCAGGTTCCTTTGCTTGAACAGCCATCAGAAGCCTCCGAACGCTGTAGGCACATGCGGCTCAGGGAGCCCCGGGAGAAGGCGGGTAGGGATTTCACTCGTGCCTTGCTGCCATAGTTTGAGCTTGGGAGCTCACCCGTGCCGGTGACATTGAGCGTGGACGCTCTGTGGTACGTTGGCTTGGTAGCCATAACCTGGATCAGCAGTGTTGCCTTTCAGAAAAGGTTGTGGGCGCTTCCTGGAGCGGTGTGGTGATCGTGGAGGAGCCTTTTAACTAGTGTCCCCATCATAGGGGTTATTTGCTTCGGGTGTTCGACATCACTTGTGTCTTCAAGGGGATTTGGAAGAGCCTGCATCCAGTTTACACTGGTAGCGGAGCTCCACCGGGTATTTTGACGGTGGGGCATCCGGGGCAGTATGTCACAAGCCTCTACGGCAGCCGACAGTGGACTGGGAGTTACAAACCAATTAGCTTCACTGGTCCCGGCGTTTGACCCAAGTGTTGATGACGTTCTCATTTATCAGCAGAAGGTGGAGTTGGTGGCAGCAGCATGGCCAAAGCAGCGCTTGACCGAATTGGTCACCAGACTGATTTTGGGGTGCAAAGGCAGTGCATTCCAGAAACTTCAGCTCCATCAGACCGAACTGTTGTCAGGTGAGATGAAAGCAGTGCATAAGCTTGTAGAACTACTGGGTGGACATTGGGGCAAAATCCCTTTACAGACCCAGTATCAGGATGCAGAGCGTGCATTGTTTGAGACGCATCAACATCAAGATGAGTCCAACGACAGCTACATAGCAAGGGCAGACATTTTGTGGTCCCGTTTGCTGAGCCGAAAGATGGATGTCTCAGAGCTGCAAGCCTATATTCTCCTACGGGGATCCTTGTTAGCAACTGAAGAAAAGAAACGTGTGATCCTCGAATCCGAGAAGGACGGAAAACTGACTGTTGAGAAGGTCACTGATGCTATCAGAACCTTAGGTGCCGTTTTCTTTCAGGAGATGACAGGCCAGAAAAAGGCCACCCGAACCAAGGTTTATGATCAGGCCAATCTGACCATGGATGCAGCAGGTGATGATCCACAGGAATCGGAGTCAGCATTGAATGCAGCGGAGGACACACTGGACGACTTCATTGAAGAGATGGTCCAAGAAGGTGACTCAGATGCCTTGCTCATTGCAGACTATGAGCAAGCAATGACGGAGACCCTGCAGGAAGATGCTGAGTTAGCAACAGCTTACTCAGCATACCAGCAAGCCAGACATCGATTGACAGAGCGATACAAGAACCGTGGATTTTGGCCAACCAGGCCATTTGCTGGAAATGCCTCCAAAGGCAAGGGCTATGGAGGTTTCAAGGCATCTGGAAAGGGCAAATCCTTTAATCAGCCTCGTCGCAATCGATCGTTGCAAGAAAGGATCATGAATTCCTCGTGTAGATTGTGTGGCCAAAAGGGCCATTGGAAAGCTGAGTGCCCGATGAAACCATCGGGATCCCAAGCGTCGACCAGCACCAATGCAGCTCCAACCACCACCGTGATCACAGAGGAGATTGATCCGTTGCCCTTGGAGTTCCGACAGCTGCCGATGTCATCCGAGATCATGCCATTGGAGGTAGTGCCTGTCCCTCAGCATAGTTTTTTGGAATGTTTTGTGTCCATTTTGGAACAACCAACCAGTCAGTTCATGTACAGGGGTAGGATTCTGGGGAAATCTAGACATGTGCATGAGCCCATGGAAACTCCGGCAATGTCAGCCAGAGAACGCCTCAGGAAACGTCTGATGATTGGTGAATCCATGATCGCTAGCCGAAATGCAGAGAAGTCCGATCGTAGTTCATCCGTCAGTTTTGTACAGACACCAAGCCAGTCCAGAACATGTTTCAAGAAGGAAGTCTCCATGCCACATAATCATGTTCCATGTGAGACAGCCCTGTTTGCAACCCACAGTACTTTTGGTGTTTTGGACCTCGGTGCTTCAAAGACAGTAATTGGTGCAGATAATGTTCGGGAGTTGATTGAGGGTTTGGATCCCATAATTCAGAAAGGTCTTTCACGTTGCCAGTGTGATGTAACTTTTCGGTTTGGAAACCAAGGGACTCTCACCAGCACGATGGCACTTGTGGTACCCATTGGAAAACTTCAGCTGAAGATCGCAGTGGTCCCAGGTAAGACTCCTTTCCTGATCAGTAACACCCTCATGAGAACTCTTGCAGCGCAGATAGACTGCGAGCACCGAAAGTTCTGCAGTGCCAAGTTAGATCAGCCGATCGCCATGCACTTGACCAGTCGCGGCCTGTTCTTGGTTGATTTGAATGAGATTGCACTGTCAGCCCGACGTCATGCCTTGCACAGCAGTGACTCAGCGAAGCCTGTCACTGAGACCTTTTTGTCCGACACCGCTCACATAAAAGTTGACGCCATTAAGCCAGTGGGAGTTGCAGTCAGAATTGCCGAAATTGAAAACCGAATTCAAAAGAAACCAATGGAAGAATCTGGAATTCAGATCGTCAGAGAAAGCAGTCCATGTGTTGCCAAAGCCTCTGAACCAGATGAAAGCAAAACCGTGAGCCTCATGTCCAGTGTTGAAAACCATAATTCTGGGTCAGCCTCGGCCCAAGATAGGACATCCGCAGGAACCTCGATCTTTCTAGAACGATCCCATCATGTCGCTGAGCCAGCGCTTGAAGGCCTTGCAACAGAGTGCTCCCTCCGAAGTGGAGGACCTGAGTCATCTGACTCTTCCGGAACTCGAGAACGAGGTGATCACCTTCGGGAGCAAGTACAACGGCATGACCCACAGCCAGGCTTGGCCGGATCAGGAATGGTGCCAGTTCATGCTGAACCGGTATGGGAACAGTGCGAAGACGGCTCATCGCCGTGCCATCAGGTTCATCGAGCTCAAGATCGAGCAGCACGAACAATCACAGATGCCCATTCCGAAGATGCAAAGCCAGGTGTCCCGTCCAGTGGGACTGAACATAGCCTCCAAGGCCAAGGCAAAACCACAGGCCAAGGCCAAGGGGTGCGCATCTCACCAAGGAGTCCATGCCAGTCTGAACATGCCCAGTTGTTCGCCCGGCCAGATGGGAGAAGACGACGAAGTCTGGGACTGGAATTCCGAGATGTATGCATCGGAGACCATGATGCCGAATCCCTTGCAGCAAGACCCCGACTTCCTCGCCATGAGAGATCGAATGCTGTTCATGGAGAATGCTCTTCAGCGAGTGATCCAGCACATCGAGCAGAACACCAACACAGCCGAGCCAGTGACCAGCCCAGAGGAATTTCCGTAGAAGCTGCAGCCAGAAACAATGATGATTCAGCGTTCACAGTAATGCATCGAGATGCCTCTCATGTCCAGAAACTCATTAGGCAATTTTCCAAGGAATTGAACCAAAAGTGTCAAGAAGTAAAACCACTAGGGAAGCCATTTTGCCTAGCCGAAGTCTTTTGCAGTGAACGATCACCATTGACGCACCAGATGCAGCAGCTTCAAGAGGGAGCGTTCCGTTTTGGATATGACCAGGGTGATTTGGCCACAACTGCCGGCCGAGGAAAATTGTTTATCATGATGGCCCAACATCGACCAAAACATGTCTGGATGAGTCCGGATTGTGGACCATGGTCATCCTGGGCGCAGCTGAATGCCTCCCGATCTCCAGAGGCACTTGAGGCCTATCAGCAACGAAGGCATGAGCTTTTGTATCAACTTGCATTATGTATTGTCCTGTTTAGATATCAGTATCAGCAGGGGTTGCATTTTCATCTTGAACAACCACTCCGATCAATGATGTTGTACAGTCCCTGGCTTAGCGAAATTCGTCATCATACCCAGCTCTGTCAGTTTGATATGTGTAAGGTAGGTGAACTGAAATGCCCACAAACTGGAATGTACATGCGCAAAAGTATGGGAGTGATGACAACAAATCCATCGTTGTATAAGTTTCTTCATGGAAAAGTATGCAATCGGGAACATGATCATCAAGCCATTGAGGGCAGCATCACAGGACCCAACGGCATGATGTACAGAACAGAATTCACGGCAGTGTATCCCCGGAAGTTTGCCAGAGCTGTTGCCCAAGTCCTTGGGAAAGGTACCAATGAGTGGCCATTCATGTGGCAACCTGGCATGATCGCCAGAGTCCGCAGCCAAGATCCATGCCACGCCGAACCGAAAGCAGCCCAGGCATACGTTTCAGAACGTTCAAGAACCATTCAGAAACCATCCACTCACAAAGACAGATTTCCAAAATCAGAGCTCACCATTCCAACTGCTGATGACCATCCTTCCAAGAAACGCCGCGTCACCGGAAAACATCATTCAGAACCCAGCCTTGAGAAGTTTCAGGACGTTATCAAAAGAATCAATGTCATAGCACCACGTGTTGGTAAGCTGGAGATCAATAATGCATCCATCCTACACCAATTGGAAGAACTTTTTGGGGATAAAGAGATTGTCAAGGTGATTGCCTGTCGTGGTACGGATCGGACCATCGGCCCACCAACCAATTTGCTAGCAGCGCAAGCACCGTTCCGAAAGGCACTGATGGTAGCACGACCCACTGGCGAAGTACAGGTTGAAACTTATTGGGAGAACTGGTCAATGTTATCCAAGAGACAACTCATCAGACCTTCACATGCCTGTAGGTTGAACATCACTATGTTTGCTCGGAATCGTGAAAGCAGCCAGCTCCCGAGAGCCAGTCTCGACGCCTCCAGCCAGCGACCCGTGACGTCTGCAGATCCAAATGTGAATCATCCTCCGAACGTAACGGAGGAGGAACCAAGATCAACGGCAGCACCTGTGCCAGCACCCATTGAGACCGAAAGTTCCCCTGTCCCGGAATCTGAAATGATTCCATTGGACGGCACCACGAGCCAGGACTCTGAAGATAACCATGCACATGGTATGAACTTTTTACGGTTACCTAAATGGGAACAAGCCCAATTGTTGCAAATGCACCGAAATCTGGGACATCCGTCCAACGAAAGACTTGCCAAGGCCTTAGAATCCAGTGGTCAGAGACCTGAGCTGGTCCAAGGTGCGCTTGACATCAGATGCGCAGTGTGTTCCGCGTGTAGTCCACCGAAACATCAAAGACCCGGAACCTTAAAGCCCATGATGGATTTCAACTACAAGACCTATGTTGATGGAATAACATGGACAAACCAACAGGGGAAATCCTTTCATTTCTATCACATCCTTGATGCGGGAACCAACTATCATGTAGCCATAATTGCCCCATCACAGACCACTCAAGATGTAATTCATCTCCTTAATCAACATTGGATCAGTTGGGCTGGAGCACCTCATGAAATCCAAGTCGATTCGGGAACTGAACTGAACAGTGAAGAATTTTCTCAGTACATGCAAACCATGTCCATAAAGCCAACCACCATTTGTCCGGAAGCCCATTGGCAAAATGGTAAGATTGAGCGACATGGCCGGTTTCTTCAAGAGATGTTAGTAAAGATGGACCTTGAACACAATATCCAAGAATATACTACACTTCAAAGGGTTTTAAATCAATGTACGCAAGCTAAGAATGCACTTAGTGTGCGGCACGGATATGCACCAGAGGTGATAGTATTTGGGAGACACACACGTGTGCCAGGGTCAATACTCAGCGACGAGTCCATCCCATCACATGCAATGGCCACCAATCCAGAAAATGGTCTTGACGCCTCGGAATTTCAGAAAATGCTGAAGATTCGAGAAAACGCCCGGAAAGCCTTCCACAGTGTACATAATAGCGAAACCCTTCGCAGAGCCATCCTGAGAAGATCATGTCCTCACCGAGGAAAGTATGAACCTAATCAATGGGTCATGATCTGGCGTAATCATAATGCGAACCAACCCAATTGGATCGGTCCCCATAGGGTAATTATACAGGATGGTAATCACACAGTGTGGACAACCACAGCGGGAAAACTATTCCGTTCAGCTCCTGAACATGTGCGACTGGCCCTGCCGGAAGAAGGAATGCCCTGTGGTCCTGAGCTCCCGGAAGATTTGACCGCTCTCCAAAACCAGATTGACAGAATGAATAACCAAAGTGTTCGGGTAGACTCCCCCAGTATAGTCGATCCATCCAATAACCCTGATGAACCCATAGTCCCACAAGATAATGACATGGAGAACATGGATCAGACTCCAGCTGAGGAAGAAGAAACACAGAGCCTCCGAACATCCCAACAGCCTGATCAGGAACCAGAAGCCGGTAGTCAAGATCCTAGCATCCCATCCGAAAACACCCAAAGTGAAGAAGAAGAAGAAGAAGCATTCATGGTATGTACCGAAGAGCCAGGAGCCCTGTTGAGCGAAACTCCAATCGATCTAGCCTGGAAATGTGAGTTTGACATACCCATACCAAACACATATGATGCTTCGGATTTATCTACGGTTGAAGCTTGGACCATGCTGGCCTCCTCTGCCCGAAAACAACGATCAGAAGTCAGACTTGGCGAACTGTCTAGACAGGAGAAGGCCGAGTTCGAAGTCGCCAAACAAGCCGAGATTGACAATTGGATCAAAACGGGAACAATCAGCAAAATATTCAGAGATCAAATTCCACATGATCAAATCCTTAGATGTAGATGGATCCTCACTTGGAAGCCATTGGACTCCACAGAAATCACTGCCAATTCCAAGAACCCAAAAGGGAAAACTCATCGAGCAAAAGCTCGTCTAGTGGTATTGGGATATCTAGATCCAAAATTAGACCAAATACCCCGGGATTCCCCAACCCTTGGAAAAACATCCCGAATGTTAGTTCTCCAGACAATAGCATCACACCAATGGGAACTTACTTCATTCGATGTTAAAGCAGCTTTCCTACAGGGGACCCCACAAAAGGGACGAATCATTGGAATAGAGCCGGTACCTGAATTACAGAAAGCCATGAACATGCAAGATCACGAAGTTGGAATCCTCAATAAAAGTGCGTACGGACTCATCGACGCACCATACTTGTGGTATAAAGCATTCGTAGAACACTTGCTGCAGCTGGGAATGGAACCGTGTCCTTTTGATCCATGTCTTTTCGTTTTGCGTGAGGGACCCGAAACCAACCAACCAGGAGCACTCAATGGAATCCTAGGAATCCATGTTGATGATGGTATTTGTGCTGGAAACCAGAAGTTTCAAGAAGTTCTCCAAAAGATTGAAGCCAAATATGCATTCGGATCCAAGAAAGTCCAATCTTTCACATTCACGGGAATAGACTTGTGCCAACATGGAGATTACAGTATTTCCCTAAACCAATCAAGCTATGTCCGGAAAATTAACCCCATAAGCATAGAGCCTCATCGGAAAACACAGACCGATGCACCGGTAAGCGAAACTGAACGTGCGTCCCTCAGGGGGTTAATAGGATCACTTCAATACGCAGCTGTCAATACTCGCCCAGATTTGTCCAGCAGGTTATCCCAATTACAATCTTCAATAAATTCAGCTACCATCGAGAACCTTCAGGAAGCCAACCGACTCCTACATGAAGCCAAACGTCACCATGATGTAACAATCACTATAAAATCCATTCCCCCAAAACAATTCCGATTCATGGGATTCTCTGATGCGTCCTTTGCTTCAGTAAAGAAACCAGACTCACATGCCGGACTTATCATCGTTGGAACCCACCAAGACATCAGTGAAAATAAGCAATGTGTCATTAGTCCAATTTCTTGGGGAAGTCGTAAAATTCAAAAGGTTGTAACCAGTACATTATCAGCAGAAACCAATGCTCTTGCATCCGCAGTGGATCAATTAAGTTGGCTAAGGCTATTTTGGGAATGGTTACACAATCCTAAGACTCCTTGGAAGAGACCTGAAGAAGCCTTGACACGAATTGCACCAGCCATCTCCGTAGCTACATCCCCAGCCGAAATGGATGTTGCTGTCACAGACTGTAAGTCGCTTTTTGACCTGATAACCCGTACAGCACCTCCACAATGCGCTGAGTTCAGGGTTGCCTTGGTTGCTCGAGCCATCAAAGACTCTCTCCAAGAGGGAATAGATCTTCGCTGGGTCTCAACAGGAGCACAATTAGCGGATGCACTAACCAAAGTGATGGAATCTCAGTTTTTGCGAGAGACTTTAAGATTAGGCACTTACAAACTGACGGATGAGAGCTCCTTGTTGCGTGACCGAGCCCGCACGCGTGACAGGGTTCAATGGCTGAAACAACAATCCAATGAGAAATACACCAATGAAAATGCTGTTCAATCAACTAAAGAAAAATAGCGAGTGTGAATTTCCACTTGTTGCCCAGGTTCCTTTGCTTGAACAGCCATCAGAAGCCTCCGAACGCTGTAGGCACATGCGGCTCAGGGAGCCCCGGGAGAAGGCGGGTAGGGATTTCACTCGTGCCTTGCTGCCATAGTTTGAGCTTGGGAGCTCACCCGTGCCGGTGACATTGAGCGTGGACGCTCTGTGGTACGTTGGCTTGGTAGCCATAACCTGGATCAGCAGTGTTGCCTTTCAGAAAAGGTTGTGGGCGCTTCCTGGAGCGGTGTGGTGATCGTGGAGGAGCCTTTTAACTAGTGTCCCCATCATAGGGGTTATTTGCTTCGGGTGTTCGACATCACTTGTGTCTTCAAGGGGATTTGGAAGAGCCTGCATCCAGTTTACAATATACATATATACATATATACATATATACATATATACATATATACATATATACATATATACATATATACATATATACATATATACATATATACATATACATAATAAATATTGTATATTTATATACATATAATATAATATGAAAATCGACCTGTGCAGCTCCGCGGCTCCACGTGCCTTCCACTTGACTTCTGGCTCTGCAGCAGCCTGCGCTCGAAACAAGACCCAGCACAGTCCAGTTGCAGAAAGAATACATCATAGTGAATCTATATTAATATATATATATATTCATATATATTCTATATATACATATATATACATATATTGAGAAGCTCATGATTCGGGGAAAAATTACTATTGGCTTGTTCTATTGATGCTAGTTTTCAGATTTTTTGTGTCAAGTGTCAACCAATGCCCACCTTGGGCGCTGCAGGATAGCCGCCCCTGGGCGGAGCTCGGATGCTCTTCATCCGATCTGCCACCTGGGTCACCGAGGCTTCTCAACTGGTTAGGGATGACCCTCCAAGTAGGAGGCCACCATAATGGTCCGTTGGCATGTGATCGACGAAGTCGCAAGTGCATGGCAAAGAGAAGAAGCAGAGACATGCCTGTCATTGGATCTATCTGAGTATCTGAATGTACACCCCGAAATTGCCAGTTTAGTGACAGTTTAATGATGTTTAATGAGGAAAATATGAAAATCCACTGACAAATGTGGGTTCATAAAAACATCAATCTGAACCTATGGGTTTTTGTGGAATGAATGTCCATGCATGATCTCCAGCTATTCTTGCGTTGTCACTTCCCATCTTCATCAGGAGACGCTTTGTTTCCCGCTCGCATCTGTGAGGCAACTCATTCAAAATACCAAACCAGTACTGGCTGGTCTTTCTTTTTGACCTGAAGCCATCCATTCTGGGGGCCGATCATGTTTGATACTGCCCCGGGGTCGGTGACAACTGTCGAAGCTGCAGCGATTTTTGGACATTGGTCGACATCGAACAGCGTTCCACTTTCGAGTGACCTGTGCAACGGTGCCAAGAGATGCAACGAGCGTTCGCCTTTCGCAATGTTCAAGGAGTTTTCCCTCGCCTGTTTGAGGAAAAGTGGAGCATTGCCTTCTCTCAGAAGATGCCAGCCTTCGAATCACAGCCCTGGCCACATCTGGGTAGGTCCAAGGATGGGAGATATCGACCACAAAACGGTCCTTTCTTTTAAATGGCTGGTGCGTAACAACCTTATTTTGTTAAGGATCAAAAGTTAGAGGAATCCAAGTCCAGGTACAAAAAAAAGTGTATACTGTATCCATATTCATGTATATTATGTATCTGTCCACTGCATGCAATACATATCACACCGACTTTTCCCTCGCTTTCTACCAAGTAGCCCTAGCACTGTCAAGTGCACGGAAAACCATGGCCATGGGGAAATATATACTGAAAAAGGAGAGAAGGTGTGCTCATGTACAAGATCCCGGCGCAAAAAGATCTCACACCTTCCCTCCATCCGTCCGATTCTGCTCCGCAAGATTGCTAAAAAAGGAAGAAAACTGGGAGCGAAGAACCGTCCAAACATGCTGTTCTAACAAAACGATCCTAGCTTTGACCGGCTCAGGCAACCGATGCAGAAAGAGTTGAGCCGCCACCTCTTGCACATAGTATTCCACAGTTTTGAGCTTTGCCCATCGGCCTCTCCAGGCCACTTTCTGCAGATCCTCTGTGCGGTAGTAGAGATCAGTTGCACCTGATCCTCTGAGAGTACCAGGTGTAGCCCCTGCTTGGTTCTGACGTCGAGGGACACCCAAATAGTCTAAGCAGTGGTTCCATTGCCTGCGAAAGACAGCAATGGAAGCCCCAAAAAGACGTCTGTCCAGAGGCAAATGCTCGAACAGCAAACGTGCCAGTAAAAGCACAGACGGGGCATCGATCCGCACGTGCTGTTTTCGAGCAAACCTGGCAGTCTTTGGATTTTTGATGTGAACATACAGAAGCTGCGTGTCACTCAAAGAATCCGAAGGAAAAATCAGGTCTCTTCTCTCAAGACAGATAAACTCATTTGGATGCAACATTCCTGCGCATCCAATTGCAACGATCCCGCCAAAGCAATGCCAGCCCCATAGAAAAGCCAGGGTCAAAATGCCTCGCACCATTGCCGCAGAGAGGACAGCTCGGCATTGGCCAGGTTCTTCGATCTGCCACTGCTTATCAATTTTCCAAGCACCACCCAGGAAAACTTTAAACTGTGGACGCAAATGTTGCACCGCGGTGATGGCATAGACGTACACATAGCGAGGTCTTCCAGATGAAAAACAGAATCTGCCATAAGCGCGCAGGCTCAAGTCCGCACGCTCGGCATTCTCCAAGGCGTCGTCCAGAGTCCAACCGACTTCGTCAAACAGCCACTCACCAAAGGCTTGCAAACAACTATCCATCCTAGCAGCAGTCGTCTGTGTCAACCCGACCAAGTTGCTTAACTCTCCACGAGGCTTGTAAAGCGGATCCCTGGCCTCAGGACCAGGGTTTGGCTCAACATCTCCAGAAAGGATCAGCAACAACCTGATCCAACGGCCAACCGGCCGAGTCCAGCGAGAACTGGTCACCATGACCTGGAAAAGGCGATCGTCGCCATTACGTAAATCCAAAAGCCACTGAGGACAGAGCTTGGAAGGCCCGGGAACTGCATGATCGCGCGAAGGTCCATCAGCCCGGTTCCATGCTGATCTGCAATGAATACCCCCCGGGTACAGCCCCGAACCAAGCACGTAGCCCAGTGAGGAACGCAGGATATGGCTCAGAGCTCTGCTGCTGCTCCGACCCTTCGCTGCAGCTCCCAGTGTAACACGGCTGTCCAGTAAGCCAAGGATACGGCAACCCGCCCACCTTTTTGCACAGTGTTTCAACCAGCTCTTATAAACTCGACATTCCAGACAGTTGATGTGTCCGCTTTGTTTGAACTTGTAGCGAAAAAGCTCCTTGAAGGTCAATGACTCGCACAAGTCTTCCACCCAGTCTGGATCCTCATGCCAAGGCCGCAGAGAACTGCGGCTGGAGGCGTCAACAGTTGCACTGCCCCTGCCGGTCTGCAAATGAGCTCCTGTAGCCAGAAACGCTGCGCAGCCCTTCGACATAGCTTGACAGAGAGGAAGGGGGTATGACGCAGAGAACTGCGAAACAGCCTCGCCTGGACGAGGAACCCGCCCATACACCTGAAAAGTGTCAGGCCTGCAGCGCTGATCAAACTCTTTGATGCTCTGTCTGGTGAAGGAGCCCTGAACCACAAAATGCTGACCACGAAAGGGGCAGCTGCAGTTCCCTTGTAGATCCACAAGCCAGGGCTTATTATGCAACCACTTTGAGGGTTTGTTGAAACCGCTTCCAAAACTGCAAAAGCAAAACTTAGTGATACGACATCCCAAACTAAGCAACACCCGGAAAATGTGCAAATGGAACATCACAGAGCTACCAGGTTGTTCGCAAGAAACATAGGAGCCAGCGAGGAGGGCCACAATGAGAAGAAAGGCCGTACGCACAGCCAATCTGGTCTGCTCAAAAGTGACAGGGTCTTTTGGTGAAAAACCTGCAGGCTCTTCTTTGGATCGCAACCTCGGTCGCCTCAAAGTCCCAAACGACCAACAAGGCGGAGCAGCGTGCCAATCTCTGATTTCGCCGCTCCCTGCCAAATCCAGCATAGACCGAAAAGTGTCATCGTCGCTAAGATCTCCAAAAGAAACTCCTTTTGCGTTGCGCTCCAACCCTGGGTGGACACGGAGGCCGGCTTCCTCATGAGCACGACTCCAATTGCCCTGCCCACGAAAAAGCTCAATGCAGTCGAAAAGAAAGCGTTCTTCAGCTTCAGCCTCAAAGGAAACCAGAGGTCGTGAAAGCGGGAAAAAGTCCGCCTGACTCTCAGCACCAAAATGGGCGAGGGACTCAAGCCCCACCTCTTGCAGCGCAAGTCCGGGACCCTGCTCCAGCTTTGTGTAATATCCCCTTTGCTCGGACTGCAGCCACAAGGCATCCATAGCAAATTCACCCAGCTCGGTTCTGCAGATTGCCCCTCCATAGGGGCTGGCATCCATAGTAAACAGCTCCGGGCAAACCTCCACACGCATGTCACATTGCAGCATAGGAGCCAGTAGCAAAAGGCACAACATCTCATTGACGCTCTGAGGAGACAAAGTGAAAACTGTGTCCTTGTCATGTTCAAGACCTTCCGAATAAACAGCTTCAAGAACCGAGAAAACGCATCTGCGAAAAAGAAGGGCATGAACCCAACACCCCAACAAACTTTGTAACAGCTTGCGAGTGCACTTTCTTTTTACTACCACCACTGCCGTGCAAACCATCAGCAGAGCCAAACGGTTTCGTGGAGCACTGCACCGTCCAGCAATTCCATCAACTTCAGCCCCCAAAACTGTGGTGTGAGATACCTGACGTTGCCTTTTTCCCGGATGTGCAGTGAGGCCAACCTGATCATAAGCTTCATTAGCTCTGGCAAACACAACCTTATCCCGAGTCTCCTGCTTTTCCAAAGAAACTGACTTGAGCACACGCTGTAACCCAATATGGTCATCAATGGTGAGCAGTTCGTAAAAAGGCCCTTTAGGGATTGGTCGGCGATATGCCAAAACTTCAGAAGCCAGCATGCACCCTGCCCTCGAATGTAGCAGATTGAAATGACTCTGTTGTGCAATTTCAACAGCTAACCCATCCCCCATAGCCAGCGTAGCCAAACACAGGTAAACCTTGCTATCTGCCAGTGACGGGGAATAACATTGGAGGTGTGCCAGCTCTCTCCCCAGAAAAACCATACCAATAGCGTTTCGTGACGCCCTGGCCTTGCTAACCTGAAAAGTGTAGTAAAACTCACATAAATCATCAGAACTGATACGAAGATCTTCTTCAGGGGGAAGTCGAATCATACCAATAAGATGACCGGGGGCAATGGACTTAGTGAAGGTGCTGATGGTCTCCATGCGAGAGTTAATAACAGTAGGGTTGATGATCAAGCGGTCAAACTCTGCATCCTTGGGGACTGAGAACAAACCAACTGCCTCGTCAGCTCGCACTTCTTCAACCGGAATAATGTCACACGCTCCCAAAGCATCCCATTTTGCCGCCAGCGCCAACAAATCTTGTCGACTGCAGTGTACACGGCCTTTGGCCCGCACAGGCCAGGTGTGTTCAGGCGTTCTGAGAACTTCAGGGTCTTGATACGCAGCATGGACGAGGGGATCACTAAGGTAGGGAGAAGGATCAAAACTGGGCCCAAGTTTCCATTTAATCCTACTGGCTATTACCGGCTTAGCAGGAACAGTGGACAATGGAACCCTGACTCCTGGTCCTGTAGTGCTGGGCGCTTCCAGGCTGGCACTCATAGGTTCAGCGGCAGTAGGAGGGTGGCTTGTTTCATGCGCTTTCCCATTGCTACTATAGGGGTCCAAATCCTTGAAAACAAGGTCTAAAAAACTACCCAAATCCTCAAAGGACAAAGGAACACTTGCATCCAGCTTGAAGGCTGCATTCAACAAATTAACCAACTTGTCACCGGCCCTCCCTAGGTCGCCAAATTGCACTTCAGGCGCATCTAAGAAATAGTGAACCATCTCCTCGATGCGCTCTATGATACAATGCTGCTTCCCGGAGATGGGAGATCCAAGCCTAGCATGTGCAGGTGGGCTCTTAGCATGGCCCAGAGTCAACCAGTTCAGCGTGGCAATCACGTGCTGGACGCACCTTGCATGAAGCTCCAAACGGCGGCGTTTCCTCCGCCTCTTAGGGGACAAGTTGGTGCTGCCTGTCCATCGCCACCGAGGTAGGGGACAAGGCCAAAGGTCGGATCTGGGAACAGCTCCGTAAGCATTGCGAGGGGGCTGGAGGCTCCGCTTCAGGAAAGCCCCCAAACCACAGTGTGAAGCACCGGCCAATGCCAAGACCAGGCTCACCAGTTCTGTGCATCGAATTTCATCCAAGGACGCCCTGGCATCATGTCGGTTGCCAGACCCTTGTTCTGTGCGTTTTGGCCCAGGGCGCCCGGAGCTCATGGCGTAGGCGTGAATCAGGATTCCCCCGACTGTGACCGCAGTAGAGGCTGACGACCCTCTCTGCGCTAACGAAGAAGAGAACAGCAAGGGTTCACCCAATCCACCAACCGCCGAGGTGAGCTTTGTTCCAGGCGCCTCTTCCAGCGATGTTAGTTTCCCGCAGGGGCGGAGGAGGCATCCCCGGCCCCTGCATCAGATCCTTTCGGCTTGCCCTTCTTTGGTGGCCGTTTGGGTTGCGGCCGCTTGTCATCGCCCTCTTTGGTTCCTCCTCCTGCTGCACCCTTTTCAGGCCTGTCAGTGTTGCGGATCTTGGTTTCGAGAAAGTCCAAATCCCGCAGGTATGATACGTTGGCAGCCACCCAGCTCGCAGCTGCCAACCTCGTGAAGGGTTTCATGCCGCTCCGATGTTGGTGCTGATGCACCAAAGCAAAATTCGGATCGGGCAAACCTGTCATCAGCCATCCCAGGTTTGACTTCCCATTGTCCATAGCACACTGTTCAATAAACATGAGCATCTTGGCAGCAAAACCCTGAAGCTCTTTGTTACTGGTCCGGTTGCCTATCTCCCATGCAGCTGCTGCCAAATAACCAAACTGGGTTAGCTGCTTGAAGTTTCCTAGAGGAACTCTCTGCTCCAAATAGTCGCGCATCAGCCCAGGTGTGTTTTGGGTTGAAGTACGGCCCAACTCATTCAGAGCATTAGCCTGCGCAACCTCTGCAAGTTTCAGCAAATCCTCAGAAATCTTCACGAAGGCCTCACGGGCCAAACAGCCCTTGATGCCACTGGTGCTGCCTCCATTGCTGTCGCTAGACCCGCTGCCCAGAACGGCTTGGATAGGATCGGCCGGCTGCCTGGACTGGATCTGCCGCGACAGCAGCGACATCTGCTTCATTTGCAGAACCATCAGCCTCTGCATAGGATCAGAGGTGGCCAGCAACGAAGTCTCCAAGGCTTCATCCAACTCCTCCGCTTCCAAGGTCTCAGCTGAGTGTTCAGCAAAAGCAGACACCTCAGGACGAGCTTCCCTAGCCGCCCTTTCATGCGCGACCACCCGCGTGGGACCAGCACCAGCCAACATCTTCAACTTTTCCATGGCAGCGCTGGAGGCCGGAGCAGAGAGATCTCCGCGCCCAAGCAAACCTTCAGGTGCTGACCCTCCATTGGGAACAGGCACAAGACCGGAGGCACCTGGCACCAGACGTTGTTCTTCCAAAACTCGAATGCGCTCCATCAGCTGCGCAATCATCAGCTCTGACTCGCTAGCAGGAACCCCCTCCAAGTCCGGGGGATCTTCCTCTGGAGTCTGGTACTCAGCAGCCGTCTCCTCGTCCATCACTTCGGCAACCCAGGAGGAAGCAAGAGCTTCAGCTGAAGCTCGCACAGGCCGCCCCATGGTGCCACCGCATTTGAACTTGTACATGGACTGGGCGATCTCAGGACGCAACGAAATAGGCCTATGCAAAACCGAGAGCAAGGACCAAGGGCAGTCCACAAGCACCACATCGCACTGCCCCAAATGGCGACCCCTGGGAGTCTCAATTTCTGCCTCACCAACATGGAAGGCAAAATGCTCTGAATCCGGAGAACAACCTCCTTCAAAAAATGAGGTGATCTCCTCCTCACCCGGAAGGACCACCATAAATCCACCTGCCCTCACACGCACCACATAAGCAGCACACCGCCACAAGGGCGACTCACCACCATCAGAAGCCCAAAAATGAAAGAAGGGCAGCTGGCCAGAAGTAGCGCAACCGGCAAGCTGATCTTCTATTTCCTTCTGTCGCAGTGCTCGACTCATTGCAGCGCCGGCGGCCAAGGAATGCCCGCACCAATGCAATAAGCCTCTGCCTCAGTCCTAGTCGCAAAGGCGTGGGACAGAGACCTGGTATGAAACGCCCCAGGGGCCACCTGCACCGCCCTGAAATACAGGGCGGCTGAATCAGTCCAGCAAGGCTCTGGTTGACCGGGAGCCGCCCGGAGAATCACGAAGATGGTGTTTGGGAGATTGACCGCAATAGAACGTCGCGGCACCGTCCGAGCACCGCTCAATACCGTCCTGGCAGCCACCCCACTCTGCAGCGCTCTGCCCAACCTCGCTCTGGCAGTCAAGCCTGAGCGCAGATGCCTGGCAGCTATGCGAGGCACCAAATGCTCAACCACCGTCAGGTCTTGATTCTCGATCTCCTCCAGAGTTTCTGCAGAAAGGATATCCGCTCGCCAGAGTGCAGATTCAGTAGGACTCGAAGTGCCAGCAACTGACGACACTCGAGAAAAACTACCTAGATCTGATTCTGGGGCCCTGAGGCCAGCAAGGGATCCCTGAGAATCTCGGCCGGGGGAACCACGCTCGGTCGGAGGTGAAGATCGACGGATGGAAATGCTAAGCTCTCCCAACCGAACAGAAAGCTCTTCGATTCCAGTCTGATCAGACCCCAAGGACATCCACTAAACTCAGTTGCCTGATCTATAGCCTGACAGCCTAGCTCGTAAGGCTACACTCCTATCACCAGTCCAAACAGGTCCAGCCCCCAGCAAACCAATCAGAGTTTGTAAGAGGAAAACCAGCAGTCTGCGACAGCTTGATGAAAAAGCCAAGCCGCCAAGGAGAAACCCCAGGAAAAGGCCGCACCACCAGGCCAGGATCAGCAGCAAGGCCAAAGTGGGTATGCCCAGCCCGGAGCACTCACTAGCTCCCCACCACCAGCGGCCTTCTCGCAGAAGCTCGGCAAGGGGGCTCATCCACTGGTTTGGGCCAAAATTCTTGACCCATGCAAGCTCGTGATGATAAATGTGATAGAAATCCATAATCTAGATATGTAAATATACAATGTATCAACAAAAGGGTAAGTCAGAGGTGCTGCTTTCCAAGGAATCTTGGTAGATAGAAATGAAATTGGTCTAGCAACGAAAATGAAATCTACATTGCAACTGAGATGCTGTGGAGCCTACACAGGAATTATTTCCCACAAAAATAAAACCTACATGTATAGATATACATACATAGAGATACTAAAATCATATCTGTTCACGTTCGGTTCTATAGATTGGATGGGATTAAACCTGCTTCCCACTTGGTGCTGTTAGTGACTCCATTGTGTGTTCCTTGCAAAGAACATTATGCGAGGGTATGGAGAGAAGCCACATCCAACATCCAGGGCCTGACATATAAAGACCCTGAACCTAGCTGTTCGTTTCTGAGTGTCTTGTACATTCAAGATGGCCTTCATCTTCATTGGGTTGCCTTGGGCCTGCAAGCGCAAACATCTTCAAAGCCTTGCAACAGTCTTAAAAAACGGTGACCAATCCTTCAAATCAATATTGACACGAGGTTGCATCTATATAATTTCCGTTCAATTGATTCACCAACCTTCTGCTTTGCAAAAGGCAAATCTGGTTCGTTTAGTCTGGGAGAGACTTCCAAGTTGCCACTCTTGGGCACTCAGTCAGAGTTTCATCTTCCAGCTGTCACTTTCTAAGCGCCGGCAGTCTCTCTGGTTTGATGTACAAGACTGGATTTCCTCTGGACTTTGGAACTTTTTGCACCACTTGCAGTACTCAGGGGGAGCACTATCTGCGATGTCTTCCCGGAGACCCATCTCAAAGATCTTCTGCAGAACTCTCTTCCCATCTCCACTGCGGGGGTTCCATGCTTTTGAATGGAAGCACTGGATCCGATCCACCTGAAAAACATGTGGAAAAAACGAATCCCAAAATGCTGATGGGTGTGGGAAGCCATTGAGGGACAAACCAACTCTTAGCAATCCCTTCCCTAGAAAGAAACACTCGCAACAAAAAATGGAATAGGACAAATCAGTCCATGTGGGGTCCAATTTTTTGGGGCCATGAGTGGCTAAATGGGATCTGGAATGAACGATCCAATTTCTTGGCCGGAGGTGGCATGTTGACCCGCCACCGAGCCGGTCCCTGGCAACAAAACACAGACGAGCCCGGCCCGTCGCAGCACCTGAACGCCGTTGTGTCCTGTGATCTTTGCTGCCGAATTGACCACCTCCACGCGTGCCCCGCGTTTCTCGGCAAAAGCCAAGACCTCTTTGCTGGTCATCAAATTGGCTTCTGCAAACTCTGCAAATGCTTCAAATTCAGCCTGTCCATCTTCTTCGCCTTCTGTATCCTCAGCTTGGTTTTCTCTGAAGTCTTGCAAAGATCCCTCATCAAACGGAATACAGGTCTTGATCTCTTCATCATGTTCCATCTCTTCCAAACAGATTTTCACATTTCCAAAGGCGATGTTTTCCTCATCCGCTTCCTCCAGAACATCCAGTTGTTTCCTCAAGGCAGAGCGCAGCACGTCTTCTTTGATGTTTTGGCCCATGTTTGTCTTGCACCACCAAGTGCCATATGCCACCACATCCTCCAGGGAAAAGCTGTCCTCCCCCTTCGAAGAGGACCATCGTAGATACCCCAGATACCCCTGATGTGGTCTGCAGATTTGACCGCCTCAGAGGAACCCAACATTCTGCGCACAGCAAGCAATGAGGCAATGTCAGCGAAGCATGGGGTATGCCAACATGATTAGTCTTGCCAGAGGGGAGTACGATATATATATATACATAGCAAATGTTATATCTATATTCAATCTGTGCATGTAGATTATTTTGAACTACATAATGCACAACAAAAAACTGCATCAACGACGACTTTTGCCTGGCAAAGGAGTTTTCTTCTTCATCCAGCGAATTATTTATTACGCACGGCGCAAGTTATCTTTCAAGCTGAACTTGTCAGCAAGTTCCGAAAAAAAAGTACCCTCTGAAATCTTTATATAACATGTCCTTCTAGGGGTTTTAGGGTAATACACCATTACATCCCAGATCCCAGTTACACACAATCTCCCAATTTTGGAGACGCAGCCATGTCAAGTCACCCTCTGCGCAACGTGGCCCTGGTACCAGGGCAGGCACACGAGCACAGAAGAGGGATCTCACGGTACCGAAACGCGACGCCGATCCTAACATGGCAGTGGACAGCCCGGCGCACCCTGGCAGCTTGCTTCTGAGCCAGACAACCTCTGAATCTCGAAGGTGATTTACAAGTTCAGCCCCACGAACCAAGAGTGGGACTAGACCAAAGGACAATGTTCACATTGATCTATTCTCAAATACCCTTAAGCGATGTGAAATCTTAATTGACATCCTCGTGACATTCAGGGGTGAAATACTGCCAATGTTCAAATCCTTCCAGCCTCTTGCCTTGGAAGAAAAAGTTGTCAACTTCAAAATTTGCAATAACTGACTACAAGCTCTAAACACACTCAAGAAGCTTACAGGGGTCCTCAAAAAGATTGTTAAGTCCCTACTGTTTCATCCATGATTACGATTTCTATTTGGCGGGTGGTGCCTATCTTCCGAAAAAACCTGATCCGCAAATCTCTGCCTGCGGTGCCAGTAGCCAACATGCCATGGGAAACGAGTGATCTGCGTGAACCTTGGTGCATGGCTGATCTTGGATCATGTCAACCTCAGATGTTTTCTAAACGCCTGGGCCATGGACTTCTGTTTTGACAGGGATCATTTTAATGGAAGATGACATCACTATTTGGGGCCCGATTTCAACCAGGCTTGACATCAGCCTGCAAGAGACCTTGCTGGGCATCAAATATTCAGCACTTGTCGCTAAGTTTAAACTATGTACCTTGTCTTCAAACGGGTCTACCCAGCAATCGTAAGAAACCATTCAAGCATAAGACCACAAGCATGCTGGTCCCTGAATCAGCCAAACCAAAGCTTGCAGTGGACCATCATACCTTACCCACAAGGCAAATAACTTGAACAAAAATCATCTCGTCCTATCCCTTCGTGAAAATCATGCCAAAAATTGGGACACAAAGCCCGGTTTGATAAAAAACCACTGTGACTTGCCTCAGCCAAGCCACAGGAAAATGCGTTTGTTGCATTTGCCCAATTTGGCCGATGGCACCCCGAAATCTGCAATGCGAAGCTTTCCAAGGTCGACCACCAGAGCCAGTGGATGTTGGCTCGCAGACTTTCATGGAAAGTCACCGGACAAAAACGCTACAGGAAGAGTCCACAAAGCTTGAAGCTTGATTCTGCAAAGCTGCAAGATGCAAACCCTTGAAAGCTCGACACTTGGCTTTCCCAGATGGATCATGACATATCATGACCAAGTCCAACCATTCACCAACCTGAACCGTTCAGCCTATTTCGGGAAGAATTTCAAATCAATCACTATGGGTATGTCTGAAAATGGGGTATACCCCCAATGAAATAGCCATAAAAAGTAGGGATAATGATCAGCAAAACCATTGGGTGTAGGGGTACACTATTTTCAGACAAACCACTATTTGACCATCGTCCCTGCGTCGGCCCGGCCCCCATGGAGAAACTGTGCTCCCCCAACACTCTTCAAATCCGCTGGGACCTCGCCCCCCGCAGCCATCCTGGCCAGAGATGCCCACATCATTGTCATAACTGGCCCACTTAAAATAGCCATAACTGGCATAACTGGTATATACTCCATTTTCAGACCCATGTGGATGCTGTTTTAGTCCGAAGATCATGGGAAAACCCAAAATCTAGTGACTTACAAAAATGGTCCTTGTAAAATTTGGTATTCTGCTCTTTGAGACGAACGGATTCGAAGATATTTCGCTAGACTATTATTTTTTAATGATGAGAACATTCTACCAGGTTTGTGAAAGTCGGCACCAAATTTAAATTTAAAAATCACCAGCCTTGTGCTGTGTTTGCTGGGTATTGCAACATCTTAATGTCGCCATCTCAAAATAGTAGCATCGATGCACCCACAAAGTGATCAGGCACTCTCAAGAAGTGAAACTATGAGCACCAATTTTTGACTTGGAGAATTTCCATGATTTTTTTCCTGGAAAAAATACTTTATTACAGGTGAATTTACTGGAAACTCAATGAAATCGATGGTTTCACCTAATATTGTGTGTCATCAAATAAATATGTCGTTTCATTGATATTTCATAAATATTTTCACTCAGTAGAATCTATGATTTCATTCACCAGAATCTATGATGTCCCATCATTTTCCCTTCAGCCCACTCCCCAACCGCTCCCTAAATGGTGCCTTTTTGCATCGCTGTGGATCAGAGCCATCACCTCGCGTGACTCTTGGGGTTGCGATGCTCATTATCCCCGTATAACTCACTTGAGTCATCCATCAAGTTCTGTTTTCTTTGAAACGGATCATATAGGGTTTCTCGGTATTGTCCATGTTTTCGGATTCAAAAATTATCCTGTCTGTGGAAAACAAAAGAGGTATAGAGAATCTAATCTGCCAATGCAAAATCACCCATCTGTGGATGAGTTACGTGTCCAAGGCGACGATATTCCATTGCCATGTTTGAGTTCCAGATAGTACTACCTGTCCAAAACCATTCTCCAGCCAGTTTTCCTGAAACACGACAACGACGACGACGACCACGACGACCACGACGACCACCACCACCACCACAACAACAACAACAACCAACACCAACAACCACAACAACCACAACAACAACAACAACAACAACCACAACAAGAACAACAACAAGAACAACAACGACAACAAACAACAAACAACCAACAACCAACAACCAACAACCAACAACCAACAACCAACAACCAACAACCAACCACCAACCACCAACCACCAACCAACAACCAACAACCAACAACCAACAACCAACAACCAACAACAAACAACAAACAACAAACAACAAACAAGCAACAACAAACAAGCAGCAACAACAACAACAACATCAACAACATCAACAACATCAACAAAAACAACAACAAAAAAACAACAACAACAACAACCACAACCACAACCACAACCACAACCACCACAACCACCACAACAACCACAACAACCACAACAACAACAACAACAACAACAACTACTACAACTACTACTACTACTACTACTACTACTACTTAAGTTTAGTTGGAAAGCTGAAAATTCTCCGAGATCATCTCTAAACTCCTGGATCACCTAGGAGAAAAATCCCCTTCGTTCTTGCTGAAGACCAGCACAGGTCAATCCCAAGGTCGATCCTTCTCACTCTGCAGTCCCAGAGCAGCTTGGGCAGACAGGGGAAGCTCCTTCAGGTGATCCTCGCGGCCAGTAGCAACTGGAAGATGTAGGATTTTGTGTAAGGTCTTAACATGTTTTAGATATTGTTTTTGGGGGAATCTGAGGCCTTACCAGCAAAAATTGATTGTTTAGGGGGGGCTCTCTGAGGCTGCCCTTAAATCAGAAACATTGAAATATTTCGCCGACTCGCCGAATTCTCCAAGCCGCGGCCAACATACCCCGAGTTTACCAGCGTTGGCGTTCAACCATCCCCACGGGGTTGGGCCTACCAGTCTACCACATTCACTTCAGCCCTGGATTGAGATCAACCCCTGGTTTTGTGACAATTTCAGCTAGCCACACATTGCAAATCCAAAAATAAGTTATTTTTTCAATTTTGTTGTCATGTTCATCATCACCCAAAACATCACAAAATCATCACCTATTTTCTCGAAAACGTATGAGGTTAGTTTTCCATCGTCACGGAATGTTCCCAAAACATGACTTTTAGCTTGTTGCAACAAATCTTAGGGTCGCGAAGATCACTGTGGCAATCGCACTGGTAATGGCGAAAACGAAATCAAAAGGTGCTTCAGGTTCGAAAATAATTCAAAGAGTCTTTCTTAAGTCGAAAATAATTCGAAAATAAATTGAAAATTGTTTTTGGGACTCGAAAATAATTGGGGAAAAAAACGAAAAAAATCGAAAAAATGGTCAAGTTGCCGGCGGGTTCGGCTCGGCGGTATCATTGCACCTTGCGGCTCAGCCTGCACAGGGAGTGAAAACTTGAGGCAATGCGAATTTGGCAACAACGGCTGCCGCTTGATGCTGATGACTGATCCTGCCTCAGTTCGTCTCTGAGCGTGAAGCGGGCGGCCTGCAACGCGCGACTGTCCGTCACGGTTGCCTGGGCACGTAAATTGTCCTTCTGCTTGTCTTTCAAGACCTGGCAGCAGCAGCTTTAAGAGGTATTGCAAATCTGCTGACTGCTGTCGCGTCCGTACACAGTCTAAATTAAATGAACTCACCGGCTGCCTTGCCTTGCGAAGAGACTCTGTACGCGACAGGCCCGTCTGCCGCTGGAGGTCGTACGCTTCCCTGTCGACCTTGGCCCGTGAGGACACGAGGACATCTGAGTCGACCTTGGCGCAGTGCAAGATTGGACCCGGCCTTCTGTTTCATGCGGCCGAGCTTTTCTTTGCTGATGTTCTTGTCCATGGCCGCCTGCTCAGTTGATTTCCAGACAGTGTGTATCAAGCAGTTGTGTTATGAGCGTTTTTCGATGGGGCTGTGAAGCACTGTGCAGCAACGAAGTCGCTTGAGTGCCCCTGCCTGCTCCCGACGCAGGACCTGACTACCAAACTGGAACAGGTCCTCGCTCATCGCCTGACACTGGAAGGGTGTGTTTGGCATGAGACCCAATTTCTTGGAACAGTAACTGAGGCACGGCCTTCGCTCAGCAGGGGCTAGAGTGAGAAGCTACTCGCTACAAGGCAAAGCAGGTGCTTGATACTGAAACGCTCCGAATAATTCAAGTTGGTTGCGACGTACCTCATGACATTCGGCACTTATGTACAGTTGTCGCCTGCGCTTGATGCTCTACGGTGACTCATCCTAGGTGGGCGAGGTTAATCTTCCCTTCGCCGTCTTGTTTCGAACAGGTTCCGTGGTGGCCCTTTCCACTAGCCTGACCGTCTTGAGGCCCAATGATGTCTTTGCATCCGGCTCTTTTGGGTCCCTGTCAACTTGCTCAATCCCTACGACGGCGTCGATATGAATGAATGAATGTATGTATGTATGTATGTATGTGTGTGTGTGTATGGTATGTATGTATGTATGTATGTAGGTAGGTAGGTATGTATGCATGTATGTACGTATGTCTGTCTGTATGTATGTATGTATGTATGTTCGTATGTATCTATGTATGTATGTATGTATGTATGTGTGTGTATGTGTGTGTGTATGTGTGTATGTGTGTATGTGTGTATGTGTGTATGTGTGTATGTGTGTATGTATGTATGTATGTATGTATGTATGTATGTATGTATGTATGTATGTATGTATGTAGTATGTATGTATGTATGTATGTATGTATGTATGTATGTATGTATGTATGTATGTATGTATGTATGTATGTATGTATGTATGTATGTATGTATGTATGTATGTATGTTATGTATGCATGTTCGTATGTATGTATTTATGTCTGTATGTATGTATGTATGGATGTATCTATGTATGTATGTATGTATGCATGTATGTATGTATGTATTTGTGTAGCGTATGTATGTATGCATGTATGTATGTACGTACGTATGTCTGTATACATGTATGTATGTATGTATGCATGCATGTATGTTCGTATGTATGTATATATGTATGTATATATGTATATATGTATGTATGTATGTATGTATGTACGTATGTATGTATGTATGTATGTATATAAGTATGTATGTATGTATATAAGTATGTATATAAGTATGTATGTTTGTTTGTATGTATGTATGCATGTTCGTATGTATGTATTTATGTCTGTATGTATGTATGTATGTATGTACGTATGTATGTATATAAGTATGTATGTTTGTTTGTATGTATGTATGCATGTTCGTATGTATGTATTTATGTCTGTATGTATGTATGTATAAATGCAAGTATGTGTGTATGTATGCATGTATGTATGCATGTATGTATGTATGTACGTATGTATGTATGTACGAATGTATGTATGTATGCATGTTCGTATGTATGTATGTATGTATGTATGTATGTATGTATGTATGTGCGGATGTATTACTTTCATGTGGTGTCAGATATCTGTTTGACTCTCTATAGTTTGCGGCTCTGTTCTCTCTTCCACGGCGATTCACAATCGGCCTGTTTGAACGGCGCCAACGACCTAGCGGTGTCTGTGGATAAGTCCTGCTAGGCCGTTGCAAGCAATTATCAATTAAAAAACCAGCAACAAAGATATTACTTGTATACGTGAACCATTCTATGAATGTATACACAGGTTTTCCGACAAGGAATGTTAATTGCTTGGCCGAAAGTGAAACAATGCGGGGGCACTCGGCGATTGAGCCTGCGGATGGCACGCAGGACACAGGCAACATGAGTGGTCTGAGCTGCGGTTTGGTTGTTTGCTGGCCGTCTCCAAAGAAAGCATTTCAGGGACCATACTTCTTATTTGTCTTTTATGATGTGGGCTACGACTGCAATCGTTCACAAAGCTGTTTCATGGCAGCGCCTTCGCTACACGAACAAGTTCCAATAGACGTTGGCATCTTTCGCGTTCGCACTTGGTGTGAAGGCCTCCAAGAGAAAGAGTTGTCTTCGTGAAGTCTGCAAACATAGCATTGATTTTTCCGCGCCTCTTCTCGCGTCAATTGGGCATGCAGCGGGTAACGCCGTTTGGTGTTACCCGTGCGCCGAACCGCCGTGGCCTCAGGCGCCAGGGTCAGCGCGCACGGCACCTGGGACAATTTTCGCATGCGTACCAAGTATCTCGCATTTTCGACGACCCTGCCTGGCGGTAGCGGATGAGGGGCCGTTTTTTGCAATTTTTGGATTTTGTCAAATTTGATTCAAAAACGAGAAAAACCGACAAGAACCGAAAACAAAAACGAAAAAAACAATCGGAAAAAAAAAAGAAAAAACGAAAACAAATCGAAAATAAATGGGAAAAAGAAAGCAAATCGATTTTTTTTGCAACAATTTCTGGATTTTGCCTAATTTGACACAATTTGACCATTTTTCCAGCCGCAGCAGCTCTGGAAGCTCTTCTCCATGTCCGAGGATCCGGGCGACTGTGATCTTTTGGTGAAAATTTCAATGATGATCCACATGAATATACAAAAACGGCCTTCCAAGCAGCCGAAGATTTTGAGATGATTTTGATGATAGCCAACATGATAATTTTTTGAAAAAATAAATGTTTTTGTGGGCTCCAGCCTGTGGCTCTCAAATTGTTATAACCCTGGTTTTCGTGAACTCGGACGACTCCTCACTGGTCACTCTGTACATCCGGGCCTACAGATTACCTGCAGTACTGAACCTAACTTGCGCATGGAGTTGCAAAACCTTTTTGGTATTGACGGTTTCTTGGAAGACCTAATTCCGAAAAAGGTGGTACCTAACTCCGAAAAGGTGCTGTCACAAAACGGCTTGGGACATGGCAGTCAAAAAACCTTTGAGAAGGTGCCCGGATGGGAAGTGGGACAGCAGGTGTCAAATCAGGGGCCCACGCGCAAACACTTAAACCAGAGCACGGACATTGGAATACCATAGAGCCATCTGCTACCAAACTTGTTGTGAAACTACGACCTATAATATATATATATACAATGTAAAATATCATACGTTAAAAAATAATGTATACTATAGATATATAAAAAAAATGGAATATATATATATATTATATATAAAGATAATACATGTGATATATATATATCATATTTTTTTACCACATACATATTATATATCATTTTTATACTAAATTCAATTATATATATATATACACACTATTTATATTATTTATATATGTTAAATCTATTTTTGTATTTTATATTATATAATTATGATTATATACATATACTATGATAGACTATAAAATATATATTATTTAATATGTATTATGTTATTTCATATATATATATATTAACTTAAACATTAGATATTCTAAATATATATATATATTGTATATTACATATCAAATAGATACATGTATATTAGATACAAATATTATATATCACATATTCTTTAAATTATTTGGCATTCATTATATATATATATTATCTTATGTTATATCATGTTGTATGTATATATACAAATATTAAATATCATATGTTGAAAATAATCTTATATACAACTCATATATGTTTTATCATTTTATATCAAAGTATCGTCTGTTATATTTTGTTAAATTATATTGTATTGTATTTTAATTTATATGTGTACGTATATATATATTATGTATGTATATATATATATATTATGTATATGTATATATATATATTATGTATATGTATATATATATATTATGTATATGTATATATATATTATGTATGTATATATATATTTATATATACATCACATATATTATATGTATGCTACCGTTTACCTCAAATGCAAAGCCGTCTGCGATGACTATGAACCAATTATTTGGGCAGTGCAAGTGCGCGACTTAGCACGCTGCCATGAATGAAGTCACATGGTCTGAAACGGCTCGATACAACACAACTTTGGCCAGGGGCAAAGTGAAAGCTGCCATGAGAGCATTGGATGTTGCTTGATCGGTTGATGTGAACAAACAGATTGACTTGGTTTTGCACTTCCGCAGTGATGTTTCGAACATGTACAGTATCTGCTTTGCGCAAGCGCAAGCTTTGAGAAGGCATGTGGGTACATCACCTTTTACTGGGTTTGGGTGGGCCTGACGTAGGTCACAGTTGGGCGTGCGCATCTGCTTTGCACAAGCGTAAGCTTTGAGAAAACATGCGGGCACATCACATTTTACTGGGTTTGGGCGGGCCTGACGTAGGTCACAGTTGGGCTTTCTCAAAGCATGTCAACACATCACCTTCTACTGGCTTTGGGTGGGCATCTGTACACCTCACAGATTTTCTCTGTGGGCATAGAGTAACAAGGGGCTTCCAACTCTAAGCCGATGATCACTTTACTGTCTCAACCTTTTCCCGCGTGGCTGCAGCCGATCAACGCTCCTGTGGCTGACCACAGATCTTGGTTCTTGTGCCAGTACTGATATCGTGCCGACCGGAGCTTAGCGTTCAAGGCATTTGATGGCGATGCGGTCCTTCAAGTACCGCCAACACCTGTCAACCACCTGTGTACCTGCTTTCACTTTAATTTTCGGCTTCGTTCCAGGAATCTTGTGTCATCTTGGATCTTGGATCTTGGATCCACTAAGATGGACTTGCCAGACTTCAGCAAGACAAGTCCAGACTTCAGAAAGACAAGTCCAGACTTGAGAAAGACAAGTCCAGACTTGAGCGGGAAGGGTGCAGATACCGCAAAATCCATTGAAAACATAGGTCTTAGGGGGGTACCATACATATACATATACATATATATATATATTATGTGTACATATATATATATATATTTAAATATATATATATTATAGAAAATATACATCAAAAAAATTAAACATAAATCACATATTTTATTTATTGTGTATGTATTATAGCAAGATATTTTATATATTCAATATTATGGATATTATATCTATATATTATATATATTAAATATATTATATTAGATATATTGTATACACTATATATATATATCATATATCTTAAATATTGTAGAAATTAAATAAATTTAATTATATATTATATATATTATATATATTATATATATTATATATATTCTATATATTATGCTCTATATATATATATATACATGATCAATATTATTAAATATATTATTGAATATTTAGTATTATATATTATATATTATATATATACCATTCACTAACAGGGATTCTTCCAGCACCAGCCCCCACCCAGCGGCGCAAACACCGCCTGCAACAAGCAGTTCGTTTCCATCACCGAACACCAGCTACCACTTGCCATCAACTGATTCATGACCTGATCTGGGGGTACCCCATTTCGACCCATCTGGGAGGGCAAAAATTTTAACTGCAACAACGGAAACACGGAGATTTCGCCAGTCAAACCGGAGATATCACTGAGAAATCGGAACAGAAAACAAACATTGGAGACTTTCACAGTGCCAGAGGCATCCATTTTGTCCGGTGTGCAAATATGATGATCCTCAATTCTCCTGATGACAATTGATCCAGTCATCCACCTCTTTCAAATTGCTATGGGTTCAAACCCTGAAACCTCAAAGAAGTGAACAGGGAAAAAAAACGTACGTTTCATGGGATAATATAGGTTAAGGGTTAATAGGTATAGGGTTGTTTGACCCCTAGTAGATGGTTGAACCAAACACATGAAGCACTCACTATCATGACCCATCCACCCTACCAATTCCACGCATGCCACCTCAGCCACGCCCTGAATCGTTTCAGGTTTTTGCTTCGCCAAGCTGAACAGGAAGTTGAAGACCTAAATGGACGACAACTTCTGAGAGTTTGGGGATGGGTTTTGGGGATGGGTCACGCCATACCACAATAAAAAAGAACATGTAAGCCTTAGGCCAAAAAGAACGGAGGGGATAGAAGCCAACAAAGATATAAACATAGCGCAAACACATGGAAGATTCGATATAAACAGACCGATTCGCATTGGTTCGCAGCCTCCAAATTGAAAGAATCATTGTGGACTATGCCCCACCAATAGTCCGAATATGTCCAGATGTATTTGGGTGAGAATGAAGTTTCCAAACCAAGTGGGTTCTCTGATGTGGGGGTTTGCCTGACAATAAGGCACGTATACCACAAATCCCATGGAAGAACACAATTTGCCCAATTAAAAAAAAAACATGGCTACATTACATGTGTATATTTCTGTCATCAAGTCTTGGAGTGGCTACCCATTATCTACACAGCAGCTGCGCAGCTTTTTCGTCAACGTGGACCAGCGGGTCTGAAGCTTGAGCGTGGTGGCCGCAATCTGGACTATGTGGTTGACTTAGGTTGTAGGGAAGGAGCTGTGCATCAATGGATCGAGTTGCTGTGCGATCTATATATGTAAGTGGCGTGGTTTCAATGGGTTGACCAGCTTTTCATACCCATGTATCCAACGATGTAGCACTGTAGCTGTTGATGTATCTATCTATTCCAGCTAGCTATCAAGTAAACAATAGATATATTAATCATTGACACATCTATCCATTTATTTTCTATCTAGCTATCTATCTGTCTAGCGATCTATCTGTCTGTCTGTCTGTCTGTCTGTCTGTCTTCAAATAGATCAATCCACCGAAACTACTTTCTGACAAAGGTCTTGGGAAAGTACATCGTTCTCATGGTTTTGGATACTTAGGGTATATAACTATTGACATACATATCATACATTCATCTGTATATATCTATATATACCTCAGAATTCGACGCCCAGGTGGTCCCGCGGTGCCACGTCGAGACTCATCGGTGTAGCCTTGTTGCCAGGGCCGGTTCCGGAAGCGTGCGCGACAAGCCCAGTACGGCAATCCATCTGAGGCCCAGACGGGTCCACCCCTCTGTAGGAAGGCGACGGAGGTCTCCGTTGTAGATGTGTCAGAGAAGCTTGGGTCAACTTCTCTGCCTGTGCGAATGCATCAGTTCTTCTGCCTGATTCGCCCCCCCACCTTGCAAAGCTCCGCGGGGTATAGATCCTGCCCGTCGGCGATGTTGGGCCAGGCCTGCAATGTAGTGATGTGTGTCATTGCCCAACTACAAACATCTACTGCATGTTTTGCCCCGGACCTCCTCGTCCTCCATGTCACTGGGAATGCAGGTTCCCGGGACCTCACGCGACAGAAGTTTTCAAGGGGCAAATGCCACGAAAGCATGCTTGCTTAGGCGGTCGGAATGGAGGTCGGAATCCGTTTCGAAGCGACGCTTTCCTCAATTTGTCGATGCTGTCGGCATCGAAATATGCTTTGGCCTGCTCAGGAAACCGGCCGAGCGCCTTGAGCGCAACCGCTTCGGTGAACTTGCCGTAGTGTTGACGCAGCTTGCTCCGACCACAGGCCGTGCCGACCACTTGCTGCATGCTGCGGGCAGCACCAGGAGCAGCGATCGTTGCCTGGCTTGGGTGATGCATTCTTGCCGCCCGGATCAAAGACGCACTTCTCTCCTTCCACAGTCCCTTTACACTTTCGGCCCATGGCGACAGGAACAAGGAAGCTGAAGCTGAAGCTATCTGTCCCTTTTTTCTATATCCTTCCTTCTGAAAGGGTTCTGTTTGAGGTCCTTGCGGTCCAACCTCAGACGACGTCCAACCTATAAGCCAGGCAGCACCAAACGCAGCAAACCCCCTGCCTGCTCGCACTTCGGCAGTGGCACGAGCCGAAGCAGAGATGAAGATGCCGCAATGAAACTACCCTGATGGAATTGCCACGTGTTACAACCCCTGCTGGCCTCAATTCGATAGCGGCCGCATGCCTCTGATCCTGAATGCCAGCCATATGCCAGAAACCGATTCAACAGCACCATTGCAACAAATAAAACAGAAGTAACTTCACTGCCAGCTTCTCGCCCCATTGTACTCGGCGGCTTGCGTCGCACGGCCATTGTGAGAACTGACTGGAAACTACATGTGAAGGTTCAAAATGAAAATGAAGCTATGTTTTGGGGCGCGCGATTGACGACGCCAATGCAGAGGATGCGGATGCTGCCGATTTTGCTGCCAGTGGCGACATGCCGACGGAGTCCCCGACAAGGATTGAGCCACGGCCAAACTGCTAAGCAGCTAGGGAGAAGGGGGAGTAGTTAAGTATGAAGTTTCATGTGATGGGAGATTCCAGCCCCCCCCCCAATACCTTAGCAAAAGCTAGCTTTCATGAAGATGGCGTGAATTTCATCCATAAAGTCCCTATTTTGGAGGGTTTCAGCCCAGTTTCAGCCCATCTTCGTTCCTTTTGGCAGTTCCACCACAACCCAAAGCCCCCAACCAGGGCACATTGGGCGCATGCTCCACCTCTTGCACGAAAACCTCCTCCTCTCCGGCGCAGCGAATGCAGCCTGACCAAGGTGGTTTATAGCATGTTAATGTTGATAAAGCCATGGTAAACTACCCCAATTTTACCATAAATGGGCACACGATACACCATCAAAATATGGGTGCTTTATGACATTTGCCAGCATGTTATATGATTTTTTGAACAGACTATTAGATGGGTTTATGACAGATATGATCTGAATATGATATACCTGGAGAAAAAATCTGAATTTAGAAACCAAGTTGGATCCAGTCATGCGGCAAAAATGTCTGGCTTCACCTGCAAATAAGATGGGTTGAACCCCTAGTCACAGTGGCAACCAACGACCTGTTCCAAAAAAAAAAACGGCGAAGCTGTGCCCAAATTTCTTGTGCTGTTTTGTGTAGGATCAAACTAGTCGAAAACTCCAAACCTGCCACTAGATTACAAGCCCCCAAAAAAAATGATTGCCTACCCGACTATCATGGTGATTTTCACACAGTTTTACTTGGGTCCCACGGCTTACTGGGCAAGACATTTCCAAGTCCTGGGTGCACCGACCACCAGGGCCGCCCCCAACCCATCCACCGAGGCACCGATGCGCAATTTGTTCAAGGCGTTGCTTCCCCCCGAGTCCATCTTCTGCGGCTCATCAATGGCTGTCACCGCATCGATGCCTTCCTGGCCGAGATGGGGATGACTGAGATGACTGGGTTCCCCATGGAAACTGGTTCATAAATGGTCCAAGATACCAAAAATTGGATCAACTCAAGTGGGGACTTGATGGGACATAATGGAATAACTCGATAATGTTTGGGTTCGTTAAGCGGTTCGTTAAGCGCAAACCTTAAGCACCAACAACCACTATATAAGTCACCAATGAGGGCGAATCTTACAGTAATCATCTATTATTGGCGGTTCCTTTTGGCAGGGTTGGTTGAATCCCCAAGATACTTAGCTCCCAACACATCCTACTAAGAGACGTCAAAAAATGGCTGTGGGGCATCACACAGATTCCACTTGACTAGTCTCACAGAGACTCTATGTTGTATATACTGCAGAAACTATCAAAAATCCTAAATCGTTCACGACCCGTCACGACCCATTCCTGTGTTACGAAATTGGTGGTTTCTCCATCTTAAGGATTTGTTGATCAACTGATTCTGAAACACTGAAATCATGCAACAGCAACCACGGACAATGAAGATGTGCAACCCATTTCACTGCCCGTGATCTCGTTCCAAAAAGTCACAATGAATCCAAAAAAGAAGGTTGAGGCTAGGCCATGACTGCCATCAAAATTTTATCCAGAGAACCTCAAAAATCAAACATCCTGGTTTCTGCCATGCAAATCATCCCGGAATTGGATGATGGGAAGATTTACAGGAAAACCCTACCGTTGCAAATAAATTCATCGTTTCCTGTAGATTTTCCCAACTCCAGTCACATTAAAATCCATATAATCCAAGAAAAAGCGCATTCATAGCATCATGGTTTTGTGGGTGAAATCCCAAGTTTCTTCGGCCGAAATCGGCCATTGCTGGTTTCCCGTATCACAAGGACCACAGCCTGCAGGGCAGACTGCCGGCTTTGCCGCAGATCTGCTTCGGGCTCCTCCTGAAAGATCTGTGTAGCGAAGGGGGAGACTTCACCAACAACCATGGCAAGTTAGGTAGCAGAGATGGTGATGTAGCCAGCATGTGGTGATTTAACCAGCAAACTTTGCGATTCAACCCGCAAAAACTTGGATTTATGCAACAAAGAATGGGGAATATCATGAAGATATATTGTAGTTAAGCAACAAGGTCAAAGGAACCGAACCACTTAAGCCTAGGTATATAACTAGAGATTTGTGTATAGCGACCCCAGAATAGGTAGAAAAGTTTGAACCCTGGAAATTCATCGAAATATTCATATCATCCAAAACATCCTGGAAAAACTGTTCGGTCTTTTTGGGGACCCTATATTGGCCAAATAGATGGTGATGCATTTTTGGTGCCCATGCATTTTCAGGGCTTCACCATTCAGATTCCTGGGGTAAAAATCCCTGGATCAAAAGCCAATGGACAAAGTGAAAACGGCGAGTTTTCTTGGTCAGTTGCAGGATTGAACACGAGGCAATTTTAGAAGGCACGAAACATTGTGAGACATAGCCCAAAGTGGGATCAACTTGTATCATCCGGGTGTTTTTTTTGGGCCCTCCGACATAATTTCCCTGCAACATCAAGTGCTCTGATGGAAAACTTCCATCCCCTTTCGAAACCACCTCAGCAGCCGTGGAAGCATCCTCTTCCTCCTCAGCCGGTGATCGACAAGGCCGACCCCGTTTTCCCCAAATCCGGGATGGTTTCCTTTCCTGAAAATCAGAAAAGATCGAACCTGCTGAGTCCTTTTTGGCCACACAAAAACATGACACCTCCAAACAACCCTCTCTGGTTCCCGTTTTCACCTTCATCTGGGAACGTAAAGGGCCAATTTGGGGAGCACGACCCAGAACGGGATTCTTTCAGATCTCTTTTTCTTGGACCGCGGGTTGGCCAGAAAGAATCGAAGAATCATGTTCAGAATCCTCAAGCACCATTGTAAACATGACCTATCATCCACTGAAAAAATGGGTACGAACCCCAGATGGATAAAACATGACTAAAAATCATTGGAAATTCCATGGATCAACCCCACTGTCTTCACCTTGATGGCGTCAATGAGACGTTCGCGCTCCATGGCCAGGCGCACCTGGTGTTCCCAAAATGTCACCAGCTATGGGGGGTCACTGTGGGGTGTTGAATCCCCCAGAAGTTGAAATGAATGGGGATGGGTCAAAACCCTGGTACCCCTGGTGAACCCCAAAATAGCTGGTAAATGGATGTTCATCCCACTAAAAATGTATCTATAGGTATTGACCCATACCCATATGTTAATTATATCCCCCAAAGTATGGGCTCCTCAAAAATGTAGACATTCAAAAACCAGGAGTTCGTTTGGGTCTTCTTTTACTCTTAGCAGTCTTGGGGATGATTTGGCTGATTTCGAGCTTGGGTCAGTCCAGTGGAAGGATGAAGAACATCTGTTTCAAATCACACCGTCTCATTGTCATCTACCTTAGTGACTTAGTGGAAAGGAATAAGCACAACTATAATTGACTATACCCTCTGGTAAACTAACATAGCTATGGAAAATCACCATGTTTAATGGGAAAACTCACTATAAATGGCCATTTTCAATAGCTATGTTAGTTTACCAGATGGTAATCATTGTAATGTTGGTTTTCTCCGTAGAGAAACCAAAACCTCGATTGGTCGTCCCTCTTTTTGGGAGAGGTAGTGGTTTGTTGAAATATATGCCGAGAGATTGTTCAGAATCTCCAATGAGTAGATATCCCTTCCCGCGGCTGCTTGATGAAATTTCCTTCCTTGGCATCCGGGTGTTATGCTACTTCCTGTTGGTGAAAAATGCACACACTTCGATTGGTGCAAGTTCATGCACTGGTTCAACAAGCATAGTCGTTGTTCAGTGTTTATCATCATACCCCAGTCTTAATTGCTCAACATTTTGTCCATGATATCCCCATACTGAAACCCTTGAATCCTCATTGTTGTGTCAATCGCTTTGTGCTATGCTAACCCATTTTGGGGTTGAAGAACCCCTCTCCTTGTTCGCATTCCTCATTGTTTCAGAGCTAAATCCTTACTGCATATTACTGGTCAAATACAGACTTGACTGCTTGCATAAATCATACGTCTTTTTCGAGAATCCCAGTCTTTACTGTACCTCAAATGCCCATCCAGTCGTTGATCCAATAACAATTTTTCTCTTCAAAACTGACCCGGATCCCAAAAATGATCGTGAAAAAAATACCAACCCCCGGTCAGTCCGCAACATCTGGCTGTAACATCTGAACAAAAAAAGACAACTTCACAAAAAAAAAAAACTCATATCCTGAATTTTAACCAAGAAATCCCCAAA